ATTAAGGTAGCCTCTCCACTATTACTTAGAATCTTGGTTGGGGTCATCCTTGTGGATCTCTGTACAATTCCCTCATGCAGGTTTCTCTTTAAAACTATAATGGCTCCCTCTATTAATGTGTCTCTTTTCTTGCTCTCCTCTATTCATCTCCCAACTCAATCTTCCTGATCCCTCACGTTTTCCTCCCCCCTCCTTTTCCCCCTCCTCTTTCTCTTACCTCCCTTCCCTTCCCCATGCTTCCAATTTGTTCAGGAGCTTTTGTCCCTCTCCCCTTCACCATGGGACCATGTATGCTTCTCTTTCGGTCCTCCTTGTTTTCTAGCTTCTCTGGAGGTGTGTGTTGTAGTCTAGTAATCCTTTGCTCTATGTCTAATATCCGTATATTTGTAAGTACATACCATGTTTGTCTTTCTGTGACTGGGTTACCTCACTTAGGATGGTTTCTTCTAGTTACATCCATTTGCCTGCAAATTTCAAGAATCCATTGTTTTTCTTTTTCTGATGTGTACTACTCCATTGTGTAAATGTACCACATCGTCTTTATCCATTCTTCAGTTGACGGTCATCATTGTTGCTTCCAGGTTCTGGCTATTACAAATAATGCTGCTATGAGTATAGTTGAATAGATGTCCTTGTTTTATGAATGTGCATCCTTTGGGTATATGCCTAAGAGTGGAAATGTTGGATCTTGAGGTAAATTGATTCCCATTTTCCGGAGAAACCTCCATGCTGATTTCCAAAGTGGCTGAACAAGTTTGCACTCCTAAGTGCATTCTTAAATAATAGCAGTTAGTTACTATGGGATGTATGTATTTGTTGATTGTAGAACAAACTTTCAAATTCTAGATTCAGGCCAGACAACAATTTATTTTGTTTGGTCCTTGCTTTTTATCATAGCAAGTAACAAAACACCAGTTCTGTAACCTTACTTATTATTGAAACTGTTAACTCTTTTGAGATAGTGGTTTATAAAATGCACAATTAATTTTGCTGTTTTCAAAAATTGAAAATGTACCTGATACTATCACAGTGTTCCATAGTATCTTGGTATACACTTTGAAGAAATACAGTGTTAAACAGCAATTACTAATAGTTGGAGTCAGCTATACACTAAAAAAGTAGTAAGTCAAAGGGTCAAGTTACATGTGGCCACCTTTGGGTTTCAGAAAACAAATGATTGCTTGGGATGACTGCCAGTGACTCACAGTCTCTACGAGTTTCTGTAATTGGTTCAATGTGAATTGTGGTAATATATTGTTTATGATTTAATAAAGCTTGCCTGGAATTTGGAAAGCACATTTTCAGTAGTCGAGGCAAGGGCACTTCCTTGCCCAGTGGCTTACTTTTGCCACAAAGGTAGATTTTTCAAGTGAAACAAGAACCCTTCTGTAGAACAATAGCCCTTACCTGAGTCAGTATCAGTGGTGTTCTCTGCCACAGCTGAACTAAGAGGAATGCAGTAAGTGCTGGTGACCCCGAAGAAGACTGTCAGGTGATTCCCGAACAATGTCAGGTGATACAAAGCTAAGGAGTCTGAAAAGGCTGGATGGTTGAACTGTCTTTGAGTTTGAGAGTAGGTGTTTTTAGACAGTAGCTAGACTATTCTAGAAATTCATATACTGTGCTGGTGGGGTTCCCAGGCTCAGGTTACTGTCCTGTTAACTGGGCTCTTGGTGAATCCTCGGCACAGGTCAGTTCTTACAAGTAGTCTTACAAAGACAGGTGTGGTACCAAGACTGCACACCTTTCCAGCTTCTCCTGGACACACCTTATTTTTTATATTGAAGAGAAATTCTCCCATCTGTGAGTCATTTGTTGTCCAAATTACAAAACTGCATGTGATTTAATATTTTTTCACTATTTTCAACAAATGTGTTGCCCAACTTGAGAAGCAAAGACTCACACAACATGCAGTATACACAGATGGCATTTATAGAGCAAAGGGTGTAGGCACACACTCCAAAGTGGTATGAGTGGTTAGGATACATCAGTTAGAAGATGCGGAAGTTCAGGCAAGAGATGTGTAGGCAATGAAAGAAAGGAATTACAAAAGTAGTGAGATTTATAGTGAGAGGAATTGCATAGTGTTTGGGGAAATGATAAATAGTTGTTGTAGTTGAGCAGAAGAAGCTGGAGGATATAGGAAGAAGTTAAAAATAGTGGAGCATAACCAGGATAGTCTACTTCCCTGTCCTCTGTGTGTCCGTTGTTATTTGTTGTCCTGCTGAGTTTGTACAAAGTCTCAGAATCACTACAACAGAGTCCTCCAAGAAGCCATTAGGAAGCAGTTGGGGCCAGCATTTGAGATGGAGTGATTTGTCATTCCCTGTCTGGGCTTAAAGTTCTCTGCTTGTGTGCTTTTTGCTGCTGTTGTTCATTTGTTTATAAATATGTTTTTTAATCTAGTAATGATCTGCTTTTGGTTTTGAATTATAAATGTAAAGCTTTGGAGGTTTTAATGTTTTATTACACTTTATTCAAAAGGGAAATTGAGGGCTTAGGAGATGTCTCATTGGTCAAGCATGTTTCGTGTGCACACATGAGAATCTGAGTTCAAATCCCTAGAACCCATGTAAAAAGCCAGCCACATTCATGTGCATGCCTGTAACCCCAGTGCTGTGACATGGGGACAGAGATGAAAGGATTCTTGGGGCTTACTGGCCACCAGTCTAGCTCCAGGTTTAGTGAGAGACCTTGACTCAAGGGAATAGAGTGTTGAAAAAGGACATCCAACTATAGTGTGGGGATCAAGATTCACTAGACTCAGTGCAAGTTAAGTGAAGTTTATTCGAAGTGAATGCACTTACACAATAAGCAGGTGGCCTGCTTCTTGAGTTCTTTGTAAATCTTGAAAATTAGACACAGATCAGGGGAGTGTCAGCCTATAATCCCATTGCCAGCGAGTTTGGGAAACATGGAGGTTCCCAAGAGAGATACTCATGATAACCCAGAGAAGTGGAATGAGGCAAGATCTCCTGAGCAGATTGGGAATGGGGTGGGGGTGGGAGAAGGGAGAGGGAACCAGGGAAAAAGAGAGGGGAAGAAGGGGAGGGCAGAGGAAGACATGGGGGAGCAGGAAGGTTGAGTCAGGTAAGAATAGAGAAGAGCAGGATGAGAGATACCTTAATAGATGGAGTCTTTATAGGTTTGAGGAGAGAGCTAACACTAGTGAGATTTCCAGAGATCTACAAGGATGACATCAACTGGCAAACTAAGTAATAGCGGAGAGACTACCTTAATAGCCCCTCCCTGATGATAAAATTGATGACTACCTTATATGCCATCCTAGAACGTTCATCCAGTGACTGATGGAAGCAGAGGCAGATACCCACAGCTAAACACTGAACTGAACCCCTGGAACCCAGTGACAGAGATGGAGGAGCAAAGGGGTCAAGACTGTGCTAGTGAAACCCATGGACAAGAGGAAGCTCTTGAACCCCAGACTGATGGCTGAGAGGCCAGCAGGGGACTGATCCAGACTCCCTGAATGTAGTTTCAGTGAGGAGGCCTCAGCAATCTCTGGGGCTTTGGGTAGTAGATCAGTGTTTACCATGGCATACAAATGAACTCTGGGAGCCCATTTCTTATGGAGGGATGCTCTCTCAGCCTGGACACATGGGGAAGGGCCTAGGACCTGCTCTGGATGAAATGACAGACTCTGGAGATCCCCCCCATGGAGGGCCTCACCCTCCCTGGGGAATGGTGTGGGGATTGTGGGGGTTAGGGAGGGCTGGTAGAGGGGCAAGGGAGGAGGGCTGGGAGAGGGAGCTGGGATTGACACGTGAAGCAAGCATGTTTCTAATATAAATAAAACATATATATATATATATATATATATATATATATATATAAGGGTGACTGCCGCAAGTTCCAGCTCCAAAGATTCAGCCAGGCTGTCCTCTGTAACCAGATCAGAAGCAAGAGAGAGTGCTGGGTCTGGGACCCCAGATCTAGTCCTGCTCTCCATCATGTCCACACCTGTGACCCTACCTAAACGGGCAAAGTCAGTGCTACAGGTATGGACAGGGTGGATATCTTAGTATCTAGCACAACAAATACATTACCCACTGAGCCATTTCCCCAACTCCCATGGTCTCAAGGCCCCACAGGATTTGGTTCCTAGATTCTTCTAAATGTGTCTTCCAGCTCTTGGACTCTACTCTTATGGAGCTGTTTATTTCTCTATCTCATTGCATCATTGCTTGCCTAAGGATCTATTCACCAAGAGCTTACCAGTCATCAGACAAGATTTGAGAATAGATATAGTGGGTTGTTAATTTCTTGTTTCTCCCTCAGCTAATTCAATGAATGGCAAATGGAAGAACTCAAAATATGAATAATAGCATTCTTTTAAAAACTTAGAAGCAATTTCACAACGTGATAGAATATTAAAAAAACATCAAATATTACCTTACATCGTTTAACAACAATGCTTTGTTTAGTGGATGGTGCTAACCTTGCCAGTCAGAGGACTTCTGGAATGTTGTAGTTGCTTCTAGGCATCACATATCTTAACTGCTAGATTTTAGACAAAGGGTTATTTTTATAGGAAAGGAGCTATCGTGGTGAAAGACAGAGCTGTGCTTTGTGAGGAATGTCACAAGAACTGAGAACATTCAGCTTGATGATCATTAGTGGAATTCATACTTCAAGTGTGCCCTCCCAACCATCCCAAAGACCCAAAAGAGAAAGCTGTGTTTATCCTTGCTTATAACAAAGCATAGAACTAGTGTCCTAAGACAGTTGTTGGTTTGTCTGCTTGCTTGTGGTGCTGGGGATGAGACCCGGGACCTTGTGCACACTAGCAAGTGTTCTACTACTGAGCAGGAAGCTTTGTGGGTGAAGTCATTAGCCAGCATAAAGGTTCTTCTGAAACCAGTGCTCTGAAGAAACTACCACATGTCAAGGTAATTCAGGGGCATTATGACTTCTCTGAGGATATCCAGACTCTTTAGCATACAAATATAATATTTAGAACATTATATAACTCATTTCCCAAATTTACTTGTACATAAAAACTTTTATTCACAGATCAGTGTTAATGTCACTTAAAACAAAACTCATAAATAGTTTGGTTAAAGCTGCTTAAAAATGAACATCTTCTAAAGGAGTATGGTCAGGTTCACAACAACAAGATATCTGGGGAAAATGGGTGGTGTTGCCACCCCTTCTGTGCTTCTGAAATCTTAGTCATTAAAACTACAGTATTTAAAGCTTGAGGAATTGGAGCAAATTCTCTTACATTCGTATTGCATTATTAACAATGTGTGAGTGATCCAGCATGGCTGTAGATGGGAACAAAGTAGTAAAAGGAGTAGAAAAGAGGTCTTTCATACAAGGGTTGTGATTCTTTTCTCCTAGCGACATATGACACAGTCCTGATGCTGATATTCCCAATCTTGTCCCTTGATCCACACATTGCATGTGAGATACTGCTTCCTGACACTTTTTGTTCATACAGACAAACAGAAAGTATACATGCTTTGCCCACCCCTGCAGATTTTGACAGGTTTCTCATGCAGGACGCTGACCATTTGTTGAATATTACCATTTAGAGCTTCAAACCTAAGACAGAAGAATTATCCCTTTTCAACAAGCGGGAAATTCCTAAGACTAAAGGAAGAAATGTAAACAAAAATTACGGAAAAACTAAAAATACATTGCAAGAAGTTAAACAGAAAAAATTAGAGGAAGTTGGATTAGAAAAACATTTTGTTACTGAAGATTCGCTGTAATAAGCAACTTAAGATGTAATAATAAGATAAAGGTGTCCCAGCAACACTGAACAGGCTGGGTTGCAGAGTTAGAGTTAGTTTCTTAGACAGGTGTCCCCAGAAACACACAGCTCGGGGCAGAAACACTGGAGTTCTTTATAGAAATGTGCACTAAAGAACAAAGAATAATTTCTATGTGTTTCTATGTCCCCTTACTGCCTTTAATTGTGGTTTGGCAGTACTGAGAAAGGGGTGTTTGGATAAGTAGATGAAACGCTGTGGTAATCAGAAAGATGTATCTTCCATGTGCTGATAAAATGCTGTTCATATTAAACTTGCTAGAGGCTGACAAGTTGCCTGTGGATTAGATCATACCACGCATACCTTTCTTGACATCTTCATGAATAGCACAGTTATACTACCGATAAACTTGAAACACCATTCCTCTATTATTCTGCATTTTCCCTTCCAAAACCAACACATCAATAAGTGGAGTTATCAGTTCTAAATATCTGATAAAGGAGTCTCCCAAACTTGGCATACCCACAGAGACTCATCTCTATTACCCATTTGTATTTTCATGGCCATTTGGAGATACTGGACCAGCTTGAGAGACATTGCCTTATTGATCTGTGTCTCTCAGATTCTTGCTTAAAGATATACCTGAAAACCTAGTCCTAGAATTGCCTCTATTGTGGTAGAAAATGGAGATGATCCACTCAGATAAAATGCTATCTCCTTCTCCTAACCTGGAAGTGGGGGAAATAAGTTTGAAGATAAGTGATGGCAGAAACCAGAGCCGGGAATTAGTTAGGAATCCAGTGAGCCATCAGAGCCTTGTATTCTTGGTTTCTAGGTTGATCATATTCCCCTGGGTATGAGGAACCTGCTTATCCGTTGGCTTGTGAACACCCTCTGACGTTATAGGGACATAGTAGTAGCCCATGATGGAGAAGATCAGGCAGACCACCAGCAGGAGGCAGGAAAACAAAATGAATTCGGCCCACTGTATGGAGATAAATGAAAGAGAAATATGAAGAAACCTCAAAGAAGTGTGTGGGGGGGTTATTAGTGGAGGGATGGGAAGATAAATAAGGGAATCATCACTTGAGGCACTTCTTTTGGCAGAACACTAGGTTCACTGGCCTCTTCTCCCATAGGTACGTGGTGGTCATTATTGCCACAGACATATGTCTATTTCCTGGCAGAGTCTGTTATCTTACCCTCATATCACTGAAGGGGAAATCTGGAGGCTAAGCAAAAGGGAGATGAGGAAGCTGGAGGGGAAACTTTGTGTAGATATGAGCTCCTATTCTCCTCAGGCCCTTACCTGTACCAAGCCACTGAACTGCGCCACAACAAGAACGATGATATTCCCTACTGCAACTGTCAATAACCAGGCTGCCTGGAGCACAGATTTCATGCTAGATGGAGCCTAGGAAGGACACATACATCTGTAAACATTGAAATTCCCTATTCCATCTTCCTTCCCCATGAGCCGATCCATGAAACAGGTCCCATAAAAATTCACATTTCCCATCTTCCCCACTAAGTTCAGCTATCACCTTGGCTCATGAGATGGTAATAATATAGCAGTAAGGAGAAAGAGGATCCATTAATTGAGTGTTTTAATTTATTATATTATGCAACTATTATCAAAACCTTAAGAGCTAATCTGCATTACTATAGTACTCTGAAAAAAATAAGAGAAGTTAAAAGAACATAAAGAAAAGGAAGTCAAACAGGATTAGAGACATGATTTACTTGTTCCTATTCCAAAATAGGTCATGCAGCCAATATTTGAACATGAGTAGTCTAACCCTATAGCCCTCAGTCTTCAAGCTTATTTTTTTCCTCCAAGCCCAAAATCATATAGTCAAATGCTGCATTCTCATGATCCTGAAAATCAGGAACATATGACTATTCAGGGTCATATGTAAGGAACTCATGAACCAAAGAGATAGAGGTCTTAGGATGACATGCCTATCTGAAAAGTATGAGAATTAAAATTCACTATTTTCTAAGCGGTGTCACCACTTCTACTTGTAAAAATATTACCTGAGAATAAGAAAATTCAAGTCCTGTGACGGAGAACATGACCTCTGCTGCTGTAACCAGGATATATTGCGGTAGTTGCCACGCAATTGATAGTTTATTGGCTGGAATTTCTTCTGTCTTCCAAGTCTGAAGACCCCTATTGGTGATCTTAGTGGGAGAAACAGGAATTGGACTTCTCAGTAATCTTATTCTCAGTAATCTTAAGCAAATATACCTAACTATAGCATCCTATGATCTATATACATTCCTTTCTTTTAATTTCTCTGCTACCTTCAAAAGGTTAGACATTTCTATACAATTCCATTGTTTTGAATATTCTCTTGGTGACTGCACTACATTCATTTCCCTGATTTCCATCAGTTATAGGAAAAATCTCTGAGATTAAAATTTTTGATATCCAAATGCTTTTGGTTCTAAGTCAAAAGGGAGTTAGTTCTGAAATAGGGAAGTAAAAGAATCCTGTTTTATTCTTTAGTTGGGAATGTACATACTCTCCAGGAATAATTAATCTCTCTCTCTCTCTCTCTCTCTCTCTCTCTCTCTGTGTGTGTGTGTGTGTGTGTGTGTGTGTGTGTGTGTGTGTGTGTGTATGGTATGTGTGTTTGTGTGGTGTGTGCGTGTGTGTGTGTTCAATATAAGAGCAGACTAAAAGAGCCTCTAAAAGTCAAATATTCAAGTGTTCTAAGGTGAGTAATTAAGTTGCTGAGTGGAAATAATATGGACTTTGCTGAACTGAACCATCACAGGGAAGAGCCAGTCACTTGACATGGTGATATCTGTCATAGGATCTTCTGGCACCATTACAATATAAACAATACAAATTCTTAAGTAAAATATCTGAAATTCTAAACATCGGTCATTGATTCTTTTATTATGTTTGTCAACACTGCGTAAGCCAAGCAAGATAGAACTATGGAAAGAATTGGGATCCACGACCTTCAATTTATGACTTCTATTAAATGCTGAGATTCAGAAGCATTTAGAGAGACAGGACAAGACAAGATTGGGATAATACAAGGAATACGACTTTTCAAAGTCGAATTGTGTCCCTAAAACTCAAGTGTTAAAGCTATAATACTCAGTATTTGAGGATGTAAACTGATTTGGGAATAGGGTGCTTATGAATGCAATTAGTCAGGTGAAATGGAGTCATTGTGATGGGCTAATTGAATATGATAGATATATTTATACAGAAGGGGGAAATATAGATAGAAAACATACAAGAAATATGCTATATGAAGATACAGGTAGACAACAGGCTGATTGTATTATACACCAAGAAACACCAAATTCTCAGCAAACCATGAGAAGCTATAGTAGAGGCATAGAAAAGTCTTCCTCACAGCTCTCAGAATGAACTAGCCTTACAAACATTTTGATCTCAGAAACCTACATATATACAAAACATTAAACCTCTGTTTTGTAACCCCCTGGTTTATGTTGGTTTGTCATAGAAGCCCTATAAAAGTAACAGGCCTTTATTGGTTTGTTATTTGAAAATCAATTAATGTTGCACAAAGTATCAATGGGATAAAGGACAAAATTCACATTGTCTTCTAAATGAATTCAGAAAAAGTGTTTAACAAAATCCAACCTCATACAAGTGAGGTAAAATAGACAATCAAGGAGGTATGGTAGACAAAACTTGAGAAATTAGTTAACAGAGATGTCCTCAGTCTGATAAAGGGCATCTACTTAAAACTCTATGGATAACTTCCTTAGTGTTAAGACTGGATGCCTTTCCTGCAAGAGATGTCTTGTCTCATCATTTCTGTCCAACACTATGCCCAAGCAACTGGGCAGGAAAAAGAAATGATAAGTATTTAAACTGAAAAGAAAGTGAAGCTGTCTCTATTTGCAGATGACATGACCTCATATGTAGAAAGTTTAAGGGCTCTACTAAAATTATATTAGGTCTGACAAATTAGCTCAATAAGAGTTCATAATAATATACACATATTAATACACAAAATTGGTTTATGACTTAAAATAACCACTAGGAAAATGAAATTAAGAAATAATAAAAATGATAAAACATTTGAGAATAAGTGTAATAAAGTAAATGCAAAAGATGTACTCTGAAAACTACAAAAGCATGGTTGGAAGAATAGATACCTAAATAAATGGATAGGCATTTCTTATTCACTGAACAAAAGGCTGAAAATTATTCAGATAGCAATTGGCCCTTCAAATAATCTTCAGAATCAGTGCAATTTCCATTAAAATCTTATCTGGCTTCTGATCCTAGTTAATCCTAACTTTGTATGGAATTCATGTCACACAGAATAATTGATCTTTTTCTTTTTGTCTAGGGATGGAAGCCACAGGATTGCACATGCTAAGCATGTGCTGTAATACTGGGCTACATCCCCAGCCTCCAAACCAAGTTTGGAAAAGAAAAGAAGGAGAATATGTGGAAACTGACATTCTCCTGAATCAAAATAGATTATAAATCAACAGGAAACAAAAAACATATGAAATTAACACGGGGTGAACACATAAATCAATGGAAGAGAGTTGAGACGCTACAAATAAGACATCATTTTATGGCCAATTGATTCTCAACAAGAGCATTATTACAATTTAGTGTACAGTATTTTCAACAAATTGCACTGAGATGACTAGAGACCATTCATGTATATGAATTATATATATGTCTCTGAAAGAGTAGAATGAGACTTTAACAAAATATCCTTATGTACAAAAAATTAATTGAAATCTACTGCCTTCTTCTGGCCTCCACAGGCATTAGGCATGCATATGATGAACATAGATACATGGAAGCAAAATACACACACACATACACACACACACAAAAAATTTAAATTAAGACTCAAAAGTTCTCTGTTCTAGTTACTGAGAAAAATACTATTTGTTTGTTTGTTTGTCTCACTATTTAATCCTGATTAATCTTGAGCTTCCTACATAAACCAGTCTGGTCTTGAATTCACAGAGATTTGCCTGCCTCTGCCTTTTGAGTGCTGGGATTAAAAATGTGTAGGTGCCTGGTGCCAATTACTTTTGATAGAACACAGTTAATAATCCCCAAACTTCGTGTGGAGGTTGACATTTCAGATGTTGTAGTAGTAGATCAAAATTCCAAGAACCCAAGAGACCTGTATATCAAGTCAGAAAAAAACGAAAACAAAGTAATTTTTCCATTAACAATATTTGGCTTCTTAAGGCCATAATAGTACTGGTGCTGACCATGAGATTACATAGTGATAGCTTGGGACACATTGTGTCTCCATTCCCAACACTCTTTACCCGCTTCTGGTGTTATCTCTTTTGCTATCCCCTGCAAATATGGTGGGATTTCTAAAACTACAGCAGGAAGATTGCTATTTCCATATGAAATGTCCTCTCAAAGACTCATGTTTGAATGGCTTGACCCCCAGTGTAGCATTCAAACGTGGTGCTTCAAAGGTACAGTTAGATCATGGGAGCTCTGACCTAACCAATGAATTGACTGACTGAAGGGTTTAAAGCCTGAATGGACACTTGAGAGTTGGTGGAAACTGGAAGGTGAGGTCCTCCATAGGTGTTGAGGAAGTGAGTCAATGAGGTCATGTCTTTGAAGGGCATACATTGTCCCTGATCCCTTTCCCTATCTCTCTCTCTGCTTCCTGGTCACCATGGCATTTCTGGCACCTTTTCTCTACCATGTCCTTCCACCATGATGTTTATTCTATAGACTTAACAACAATAGAGTCATCCGACTATAGGCCAAAATGTCTGAAATCATGAGCCAAGATACCTGTTTCTACCTCTTTCTATCAGATGTTTGTCACAGTGGTGGAAAGCCTGACACCGGACCAGAAAGAATTATATAATCCTGTCTTGCTACAAAGTTTTCTCATTTGCATTGCGTCCTCACCAAGAAGACCCGAAAATACGTGTGTGTGTGTGTGTGTGTAAAAGAAAGGAGGCATAGACAGACAGGCAGGCAGACGAGCAGACAGAAGGAAGTTTTGGTGGCTGTAAGCTACTTACATTGGTGATCACAAACAGGTACGTTGTACCAAAGTCTAGTAGACCTAAATTGAGGAAAAAGTCTCTGTCTTCTGTCTTAAAGTGCACTGCAGGGTACCTGCAACAAGATGAGATTGTGTTAAAATAAACAGTATGGCTTAGGAAAGCATTCCCATCTCCAGGGAAGATTGATCTCACCTCTAATGAGGAAAATAGCTAAGCCACATGTCTTTGAAGATAAACACTTCTAGAACACTTTTGGGCCAGCTTTTTGCCTTGGATCTGTACTCTATATTGACTGACAAGTACATTTTTAAAATCCTAATCCTAAAGAAAGACTGTACAGGTCAACTTTTGTACATATTAGGTCTGACTGTGAGCTTTCTTCATGTAAATCTTATGACTTAGTAGAATAGTATAAAGCAGAGAACGTGAGAGGGAAATTCTAAGTAGTAGTTCACAACCTGTGGTTCACAACTACTTTGGGGGTCACATATCAGACATCCTGTATCTCAGATATTTATATTATAACTCATAACAGTAGCAAACTTACAGCTATGAAGTAGCAATTAAAATAATATTATGGTTGGGGGATTCATCACAACATGAGGAACTGTATTAAAGGGTCACAGAGTTGAGAATCAGTTGACAACCAGTGCTGTAATGATGAGATACTGATGGCAGGTACCAAAGAGCAGGAGCCAAAATCCACAGTAAACTTTGTGAGCTTCACAGAAATGGGCTGTATTAACCACACAACTATCACCATCTCAGCCTAGCTATGTGGAAAGAGGATGAGCCTGGGAGAAGGGGTAAGAATTAAAGGGAAGGAGAAATCTTCCTATACTCCAAATTAGCACAGGTATGCCTGTGCTCATCACCTAATTACAAAAATATTACTTGAAAAAGATGGCTTTGGTAAAAGTAAAATGTCCACAAGGGCAAGGCTCTTACTCTCCTCTTAGCACAGTTCTGTATACAGACACTCCGTAGTCTTTGCCCACACTGAGAGGAACATCTTCATCCAAGGAGATATTGATGTCTTTATGCAAGGTGTTAATAAACCTGAGGGTAGACAAATTATTTATACATTAAATAAAAATATCCAAAGACACCTGATACTGTGTCACTCATAACTGTATTCTAAGTACATAAAATAGTGACTGGGGCAGGAACAAACAAACAAAGGGACTTTATTTAAAAAGTAACCACTAGCCTTAACTTACTCTAGAAAAATCTGACTTTTCTGGATTCTTAACTTATGACTGACACTCACCAGGTGGCCAGCAAGATGGACACTACCAAAGTCACACATGGCAATCTAACTTTCCTATCTAGCTTAGAAATAACTGATTTCTTTCTTTTTTTACTGTATGTATGTCTACCTCTCTCTCTCCCTCTCCTCTCTCTCTTCTCTCTCTCTCCCTCTCTCTCTCTCTCCCTCTCTCTCTCTCTCTCTCTCTCTCTCTCTCTCTCTCTCTCTCTCTCTCTCTCTCTCTCTCTGTGTGTGTATACAGATGTACATGCATGTGCACATGATGAGTGGAGGCCTGAAGTCAACCACAGATGTTGTTTCTCAGAATAGCCATCCACTTTGTGCTCTGAGGTTGTACCTGTCACTGAGAGCTGGGGACCACTCTTTAGACTAGGTTGCTGGCCATCAAGCCTCCCCCATGCTGGGATTACAAGTTCACCCCACCACACTCAGGGTTTTACATGGGGTCTGGGTCTTGAACTTGAATCATCACACTTGCACAGCCTACCTACCTCTCCAGTAATTTTCCCTCTTAATGGTGAAATTTTTCAAATGAGATAAAAAATAGAAATATAAGTATACATAAAGATATGGCATTTTACAGAAACCAGTTATATTCTTATAAATGGAGTCTAGTTTGACTCGTGCAAAATTTAGGCACCCAGCCCAGAGAAGGTATCATCACTATATTCCTGTCTTTAGGAATCTTGGGCCCTTCCAGAATCTTCTTTATAATGTTCTGAATGTAAGTCCCCCTCAGAATGGGCTTTTGGTACATTTATGTTTAAATAATTTTAATCCTTGCTCTAGGGATAAGAAGGGATGTTCCTTCCAGTATTCTAATAGTTGATTCCAAGGTCTTCATTTATGCAGAAAAGGCAATCCCTGCTGCCCTTCTTGTCTAACCTACTTTGTGTGGTTTGTCCTTTATGAAGCATTTCAAGAATAAGTTCTTATGTGTATTTTATTTTTCTGTGAATTTGGACTTTTCTTCACAGTCTCTCTATATTTAACAATAATTACCTGATCTTGATGCCATCATTTCTCTGTTTTACATCTAATTCAGCCACAGAGGGCAGGTGAGCACCCCTCTATCTGTCTTGTGCCATCTGACAAGACCTTCAGCCTTATCTGGATTAAAATCCAACTCTTTTGATACCTCTGTCAGTTTATAATAGAAACCTATATTTTACAGGATAGATAGCCAACTACTAAAAATGATGGTAGGAATATTTGCTCACTTCTGAATGTTTATCTCATGAACACAGAAATTTACAGAGTTATTTTTCTGAGAGCAAGATAAATCACTATTAGGTAGAAAAACTTGTGGTAGAGAACAAAGGATATCCACTGTTTCAGGGTGATCTGTCAGTCCTACGGGAAGACACATGCTCAGTTGCCTTTCACTGCCATTGGAAATGCCACAGACACCAGTGACCCTGACTTCCTAAGAGGGAAACAACCCTGCTCAGAACAAGTAAAATGAGAGACTTCTTCATCCAAAGTCCCCAACACCCAAACCTAATGGCTGTCATCCCGTTGTCTGGTTTGATTCCTGTATCCTTTACCTGCAACAGAGAAAAGAAAAACTCAGTAGGAGCTGACAAATGGAAACCTATAATCAGAACATTCCATTTCCAGGCAGCTCCTTGGTGAGATTCTGATGACTCAGCCATCTTACTTCAAAACAGAACTTGTGCAATTCTCTAACTTACCAGCACACTGGAGATACTTTCCCCATCCTCATGAACAACCAAGTGGTAACAGTTCTTCTCCTCTACAGAGTTCTCATTGTGGACAGACAAGTTGTTATACTTCAGATGAAAATGTAAATCTTGGATTTTTGTTTCCAGGTGCAATTTGGAATAATGTGTTGTGTTCTGCAGAATGAAGAACCTGTTATATTCACTTTCTGCCCCAGGGTGGACATCAAATTTCATAGCCTCAAGATGTGTAACTTAGTTACTTCCCTCTCTAAATGAGTTATTTCATTTCTAGGACCCTGAAATGGGACATAGAATGATACCTAAAGAAGGTTAGAGCAGTTCATTAGACCGTTATGCATAATAACAAATGCAGGGGCAGGGTTTAAGAGGTGGCTCAGTGGTTAAGAACACTGGCTACTTTTTCAGGGGACCTGGGTTCGATTTTTAGCACCCATGTGATGGCTCACAACCATCTGTTACTGCAGTACCAGGAGATCTGACATCCTCTTCTGATCTCTGCAGGAACAAGACACATACATGATGCACAGACATACATGTAGGCAAAGTGTCCACACACATAAAAATAAATAAACAAAACATTGTAGGACTATAACTGTAGCTAAGTGGCAGAGTGCTTGCATTGCATGCCTGATGCTCTAGGTTCAATCCCCAGTATTGCCAAAAACAGGAATGACAACAAAATCCAACTTGGATAGTTACAAGAAAATGCTTAAATGAACTATATTTAAGGGATAGAATATTATGCAATCACTAGAATAATGTTATCAGAGATTATTTAAAGGCATAAGAAAACAATTACAAGATTATATGATTAATATCATATGCAGTTTCTAATTCATTTAGGCCCACACCTTACCTGAAAAGAGTTGACGGACTCCGCCAAGAGAGAATTATTTCTCCTTCCTAGCACTGTCACCTTTATTTCACCATCTGCCAGATTCAAGACTTGTAAGAAAATCTCTTGGGAAGCTGGCTGTGGATGGGTCATTCCCTGGAAGACAGACAATACTTATTTGAATTACCAATAAATAATCTTTAGACACAAGAACACATGTCTTAGTCCTGTCTTTGACAAATTAGCCCTTCTAGCCAAGATTTACAAGTCTATCCCTCTGAAGAACAGTTGGCTTAGAAATAAGAAATGACACCTTTTTTTAAAATTGGGGAAAACCCCAGTTCCATGAAGCAAGCACTGATGGTAGGTAACAAACACATCCCTTTAGTTGTGGCCTTACAGACATTAACTAATAGTGGTTATTTGATGGCCAGGATTATTTGTATAGCTTCAAAGGCATCAGATAAAGCCTTTGTTCCCAAGATATGTTGGGTATTTGTGTTGTGAAATTTCCTGAAGATAAACCTTGAATTATTCAATTGGAACATGGGCCTCCTTTTGCATTGCAGCTCTATTCACTTAAATATTTAAAATGACTGTCCAGTGAAATGAATACTGTTGTGAGTCCCAAGGAATTGAGATTAAACATGGAAGAAGAGTGATTTAGAACTTAACATTTATCGAACTCACATTTATCTTTATCTCTACAAGTGCTGCAACTGCAAATGCCAGGCATGCTAGGATCATTCCAACAGTCATTTTCCTAAGTGAGCTGTGGAGGGAAATGAGAGATCATTATATCTACCCCATATTCCAAGCTACAAAGCCCAGACTCCTTGGCCTTTCTATAAAAACTTTAATTAATTCCAATTTACTCTTTTATTCAAGTCCCAATTAACATCTCTTCTCCTTAATATACCAGTTTTCCCACCTCTGCTTATGATTATTATGACTTTTAGCCATTATGTCATAACATTAAGGATAATAGCAATATAACCAGGCTTTGTTATTTAATGTATATCAACTTCTGTAATTAAACTCATTTTCTTCTTCAGAAGGCATTTCCATCTTCTCTTCCTAGGGTATTTACCATATTACCCATATAATGGTTATGTTTGCCTAAGTTGCAGTTCCCTTACTAACCTGTAAACACCTTTTTGAAAATGTGTACTTGATTTAAATGATCTTTACATGGATTTGTGTGGAACTTTGTTCTAGACTCCCTACTTCCTACTCAATAAGTATCTGACAAGGGCATTTGTATGTGGTGAAGTAGTCATTATTTTACTGTCACAATTAGACTACTGTTACATCAGAAATGGAAAGAGACTTGAACTATCCCTTGTCAGGCTTTACAAATGATACTCTCTACTCAGCATGGGTCAGGTTACAGTGCATACTAACTAAAAATGATGTTGTACCCAGTCCTACAAGGTCCTTTTTAAGTTTCATAGGAACATCAGCATTTAAAAGAATTAGTTGTCATAAAAACCTTAGGACTTAGTCCAGAGAGATGGCTCAAAGCACAATTCCCTGAAGGCTGATGGCCTGAGTTTAATCCAAATAGTAAAGGGAAAGAACCGATTCCCACAGGTTTTCCTCTGACCTCTGCACACTTGCTGTGGCACATACAGTAACCCCTCCCCCAACCACGCATGAAATAAGTAAATAAGTGTACTTCCTTGGAGAGGCAACTTTCAAGAACAAAGTAGCATGGTTTTTCAGAAACTTGGTATCACATAATTGCCTAGACCTACCCTATCAACACCATACACACAAGTCTGTAGCATTGTCATTGGCAATCAACCGTTAGATCTAATTTCCACTTTTACACATTAAAAGAATTTTGTCAAACATGGGAAAATAGTAACAGATAAGTAATAATTCAAAATAATCATTAAATAGAAACAGTCAAGCTTTGAATCATGACCAAAAATGAATAAATAATGAGTCAGTATGCAATAACACATGGCCTGGTGAGCACTTACGAGAAGTTAATTCTGCACTTGGAGATCAGCCGATAAATGATGAGGTCAAACAATGGGATGAAGATAAGAACCAGAAAGGGATTTAGTACCTGAAACACCATGGTAACAAGGGTTAATAAGAGCATCCCTCTGTCATGAGTATGAGCTCATGCTCTCAGCTGCTTGCATGTATCCTCTCACATCTTACTTTCACCTTAGTAGGTTAAGAGTTCACATTTTTATCTGTTTATACACAAGGCTCTGTTCCCTTGCAAAGCATCTTAACCTCCAAATATACCAAGGGACTAGTTTTACTGAGCCTGTTTTCCTGTCGGTCAAATTAGAAACCATTCTCTCCCATTGTCCCTTGCCTTTAGTTTCATAACCTAAAGGAAATCATAAGGGGCTAAAAGTATCCTGAAAGTCACCATTGGTAAGCAGAGATTCTGACATTGTTGCTCATACAGCAGAAGTTTATACTTTCTTTTTTTTGTTTGTTTTGGTAGGTACTGGGCATTGAACCTAGGACATTGTGCATGCCAGGCAAGTGCTATACCACTGAGCTACAGCCCTAGTCTCTTTCAGCAAATCCTACCAGTGTGTGCCACCACAAATGGCAGGTTTACACTTTCTTTAACAATATTTTCAATTATGTTATCTTGGCATAGAAAGAATATTCAATGCTTACACTCTACCTGTGGGATCATACTAAGTGTCTCTGGAGTTGGGCAGAATTACACCCTTAACAAAGGATGTGAAAGAGAAGAGTAAGATTCAAAGAAACTGTTTTCATCTCTACATTTGGGATATAGTGAGGAATGTATCAGATGATGACTGTTAACCCAAATAACAGGTAGAGCTACAGATGAGGTAAGAAACGTACATCCATGCCTATAGAGAAGTTTCCTACCTGCATCTGGTCCGGCTGAAGCACAAAAAATCCCTAAAACATCATAATAAATTATAATTAGATGGTAGTAGTAGACAATGAAAGCCATGGCCACCTAGGCTTGATAGTAGCATCTTATCTTGATAGCAGATAAGAAGCCTATAAAAGAAAATTAATTGAATCTTTGGTTTAAGATATCTGGTTTGATGGCAAAGGTATGTGGGCTGGGGAGAGACTTGGGATGGCTTCTGACTATTTGATAAAGACAGATGGGCCCTAGGGAGAAAACTGCTTTGTGTATATGGATTAAGTATTCATTCTCCAAAAGATTTGGGATTTGAAATCACTGTGCATGTGCACAGTGGAGACTGGGAGAGAGGCAGTGAGGCTGACATTTATTCATGAAATTCATTTATGTTTTATATATGGCTCATACACTAACCTGAAGGCAATTTACTCAATAATTGGCAACAGTTTTTTTCCGTGATAGTTTTATGGTGTGGGAAATTTTACTTGTGATATCATGCTAATGCTCAAGAGTAGTTTTGTGTTTTGGAGAAGTCAGGATTACAGATTTGGGGATTGGGGATGTTCAAGATGAACTACACTTTTCCTGAGAGTGGTAAGAGTTGGGATGTTTCACCCAATCTCATCAACATAGTTAGAGGCAGTAATAACAGAAGGACAGGTGTGGGAATCAGTAATTGCCATTGTAACTCCTGGACAACTAGAGGAAAGCAAAGGCAAGATTATATTTTGGAGGCTCCTGATATCACTCCACCTATCTTCTTCAAAATTACCAATATAATAATATAGGGATGGAATGACTAAGAATAGAGGGTGAACCACAAAAGACAGAGTGAACCAAAGAATGGACATTGAAAAACAAGAGAGCTAATAATGTTTATAATTTTCTTACTCTATCCATAGCCACAAGTCAGACATTTTATTAATTTTCCCTCAGGTCCTGTGGGTTCCTTTCTTGATCTTGCCTAAAGAATGGGGCAAGTTGTGTAGAAGCACCCCTTAAGCTTTCACTTGGTATGTGTAAGACAGGCTTAAATGTAAGCAAATCATCAACCAGGCCTGCATGACTTCTCTGTTATCTTTTTAGCATGTCATGGGGGGTAATCTGGGCATGTCCTACTCTTTCCCTCCTGATTTCTAAAGATTCTAAGATTATAAGTCTTATTTCTAGTCTAACTTTGATTATCTTTATGTACTCAGTGTTTTTTGGGCTTAATGTACATACATCTCTAATGACATTGAGTCAGGTTTTTAAAAAGAAAAATCATGACTAAATTAATTAAATATGCAGAAATAAAATTGTGTATGTATAAATTAAATTAATTACAAATTATGTATGACTAAGAGCTTAACAGACTTCTTTGGAAGTTTTGCCAACTCACCAAATCACCATTCATTTTGTTAGCTTGCAGTGTCCATCGTGAGCCCTAGGGAAAACAGATTTTGTTGTGAGACATCCTTTTCCTGTGATAAGAAAGAGGAGGGAAAAAGACATATCTTTCAAAATAAACATTATTACCTGTTGGTCCAAAAGAGCCCAGAACATGGGCAGTGGGATGTAAAGGAACAGTACCCTGGTCAGGGCCTTCACATCCATAATGAGATGCTTCTGCAGGGAGGAAGAAAGAGCAGGGAGAGTTGCCAGAGGTTCCAAATGTGTTTTTCTTGCTTAGAGTAGAAATGGTCCAAAACAGTAAAAGAAGAGGTCAAATGTGCTAGAAGAAACAGATTTGAAAGATCTCATAGAATTATGAGGTATTCCTACAGTTTCTACTTACTGGGTATTTTTCTGCTGCCCAGTCTAGCCAGTGCTGTCGCTTTGGAATGTCCCCAGAACGGTTCCTGTAGCGGTTGCAGATAGCAAACTAGGGTGGAGAATACAATCAGAGATAGACAAAAAGAAAGCATCCCCTTAGTTCTCCAGTCCATTATCCCTTCCCTCAAACAAGTGCTTTGAATTTCGTCAAACATTGAATCCCAATATCTGAGATATTTATTTTTTTATCTTTCCTTATAACATCATATACAACTGTACTGAGAATTTTTTGCTTATCAAAAAAGTGACTGCTTCTGAAACTTGATGGTCAAGTAGAGACAAGGAGAATGAATTAAACTCAGATTTTTAAAAGGTAGGCACATAGAAGGAAGATGGTTGAGAAAAACATATGTCCATATGTGGAGAACCACACCTCAAGGCAGGCAGGCAGGTAATTCATGAACGTACCCATATGCATTTGATCACTTGAGCCACGATGTTCCCTTCAGGAGGTGGTTTCCTGTACATCTTGCTTCCCATTGCAAACACAACTACAGGTGATACACAGACAATGTTCTTGGACTCTCATTTAGTATACTCAGTGTGTCAGCATCAAATACCACAGAGAACTGACTTTGTTCCCTAACTTCAGCGTAGCCAAGAGAAGAGAGTGGTCAATTGTTAAGAGACCTTTGAAAAATAACACACTATGAAAATTTTTTTTAAAAATCTAACAATCATTTCTCTGTCCCAAACCTTTTTTGCTTATTCTCCACTATCTTCACAGTGGAGTCTTAATTATTTCACGGCCTAAATTATCCTTCATTATTTTGTTTCTGACAATGTTTCTTCTTTGTCTCTCTCTTTTGTGCTCTAGATAACTTGAACCATCCAAGATCCTTGAACAACTCATCAACCATACTGTCTTTCCGTATGGTCACTTCTTTGATTAACTATTATTCATCCTTAAGGGCATATCTTAGAAGTATTCACTATAGGCAAACCCTTAAAACCTCCAGAGTCTTCATTAGGGAGCCCTTCTATGAGTCCCATAGCTTTGTCTATATTTCCCTTGTCATGACATTGGCAGTACCATACAGTAAACCCCTGTTTATTTTTCTGGCTTATTCTTCCTGTACTACATAAATTCTTTGAGAATATGAACTTTATAACTGTCTAAATCACCAATATGGTTTCAATACCTAGCACAAAATCTGTCACATAGTAAATATTATTTGCACTATATAATGAAGCAGCTGACTAGCAATGATAGATATTGCTTACTTACGGTAAAACATTCTACTGAATAGCAATGATAGATACCCCCTACTTAAGATAAAACATTCTAATCCCAAAATTTTTTGAGCTCCATAATTGCCTTAATGTCTAAATATTATTACTGGGCAGTGATATAGAGAAGCTGCCATGATGTTAATAAATAGAAAAGTATGAAAGTCCTTGGGGAAAATCTTTGACATTAAAGGGATAAGGAAGGAAAGAGTATTTGACCATGGCTCTCCCAGAATAAATTTCTTTGGAATTGGGAACTGTATTACTTTCTGCCTTTCTGGTAGAAAAGAATCAGACCAAACATTGAATCTCTGGGCTCCCTTGCCTCTGTTGAGCTCTTTATGTGTTTTGACTGGATATGTTCCAGAGGGGTGTCACTCAGAGGTTCAGAGTGTGAACAGGTTTCCAGGTCAGTGACTAGAAACAATCACACACAAGCCTTCCCTGGGGGAACTTGCCTAAGCTAACAGGCCCACACATCCCCGGTCTTTTCCAGGACAAAGTTCTCAGTGCTAAAAAGAATGCCACTTGATCTAAGTTGCATTATTTCCTAAATACTTAGCCAACTCCTCTTCAATTCCCTTTGTTCAAGGGAAAATTCCTTGGGACCTTTGCAGAGCAGAGCAAAAATAGCTAAAACTGAAAGCTACTTTAAAATGCCCAGGTAATCAAAAGTGGCATCAACTTACCAGAAAAAATAAGTGTCAGATAACATAAACTAGTTTAAGATAGAGGTTGAATTATCTTCTTTCCTTCCTTGCATATTTCAACAATAATCAATGGTCTTTAATCCTGACTATACCCAAGAATCTCCTGAGAGCTTGGGTGGCACACACCTTTAATCCCAGCAATCCAGAGGCAGAGGCAGGTGAAAAAAAATCACCTGAGATATTTAAAAAATTTAGGTACTAAAAATCCTGATCTATGAACACCAAAGATGGGGTTCTAAAAAGCTCCTTTGAAATTTATTAACTATGTGGCTGTAGCACTTAAAAATGATTTCTGGGACTGCAGAGATGGCTCAGAAGTTAAGAGTACTTGTTGATTTTTTGGAGGACCTGGATTAGATTCCTAGTACTAACATGGTTACAGTACAATTGTCTGTAAATCCAGTTCCAGAGGATCTGATGCCCTCTCCTGGCCTCCAAGGGCGCTAAGCACATATGTGGTACACAAACAGATAATAAAAATAAATAATTTCTTATACCATTCATAATTTATCTTCAAAATAAAATGAAATCACTACAATGACACTGCCTAATAGGGTTATTGTAAGAGTTCAATGAAATGGTTTATGTAAAATACCTACATGATGCCTTACATGTAGCAGGAATCTACAACTGTTAGTTTCCTTTTCCCAATATACTCACCAAGAGCTACTACCATGAGCAATCCTGGAACTCCAAAAGCAAGTGCATAGCAGTCTTCCCCAAAACACTTCACATCTCCTGAAGGAAACAGAAGGGAAAAGCAATTATGAATTATAAATCAGATTCTTGGTGCAGACATAGCCATCCTCTTTTCTTCCCAATATCTAACCCATAGCCCTTATTTTAAGCCAGACAAATAAAAACTCAAATAACATCTCACAGATTTATGAGCCCATATGAAAGGAGAAACTGGACCACCTGCAGCTGTCAACAGCTTTTTGTTTGGCCAGAGTAAAGCCCTACACACACAGCCCCATTGAAGGAATCCTAACCTCTCAGCATGGGTGTGATGAACGTAGAAATCAAGCTCCCTGCATTGATGGAGAGGTAGAAGACTGAGAAGTATCTAGTCCGTGCCTCTGCCTGGAATGAGACAGATCATCAGAGAAACGTGTCTCTTAGTTCCACCCCACTCCATGTTCAAATTCAGATGAAGCTACATACAAAGCAACAGGTTCAAACAGTGCTTCCATAGTATGTGAACATCTCATTAGGCCCTGGACAAGCTTTTACTCACTTTCTAAACAAGCCCCTGAAGACCTGGGTAAAAGTGATCTACCTGTCCTCAATACCATTCTTGTGTCCAATACATGTTTATTATACTATTAATTTATTTGCATTAAATATGTTATATTCAGTATGTTGTCAGTTCCCTCAGTAATGCCTAGTACCTAGAACAAACACTAACCTATATTAGACACCCAATAAATGTTTATTAACTGTATTAATTAGGCAAATGACTCCTTGAGTTGATGAATATATTTTGTGAAATATATGGTAGGACAGTGTAGTAAGCTGTTGATCTAGGAGGGTAGTGCATCCAGAGAGTGTAACGGGGCATCTGCTGGCCTAGAAGCAGTTTGCAGAAGCCTGGGGGGTAAATTTGCTCTATTAATTTAAATACACCGTTGGATAGCTAAATGCAGCAACTTCCAAGTAAGTTTCTAAATGGTTGATTCACCACCATTTCAGGGTGTACTTAATTATGGCATTTCAGCTCTTCCTGAGACACTATAAGAATAAGTCATCCCTCATGCTTAGTTTGTGACATGTCTTGTTTCCTCTTCTCATTCCCATTTACATATACTTGCTCTTCTAACTTATACAGTTCATTGTACACAGAAGCTGATCTGCAAAGGTTTGTAATTTTCACGTTAGCAAATAATTAGAATCCATAGAACAAAGTGTGCTAAATAACCCAAGTGGTCTGAATGGCAAGAGAAGCATAGGAAGATGAGACACAGAAAGACAAGACAGGGACAGAAAGAGACAACAACCATTGTAGCATAGAGAGAATAGAGGAAAAAAGGAGGAAGGCACATAAAAATTAGGGGGGAAAGAGGAAGAGAAAAAAACAGAAGCAGGATAAACAGCTATGTGAGAAGAAATAGATTCACAAAGAAGACTATATTTTTTCTGCATTTCTCAAAAGTGAGGAATCCAGAAATGTCGGCTAGTCCAAGTGCTAAGAAGAAAGGGAAAGATCAGCCAGGAAAGTCCATCTATAAATGGGCATTCTGTTTCATTCCAACTGATAAATCTCCCTTTACAAAATCATCTCTGTATTGTACCTTCCATTCCTAAAGTACTGGCCACATCAATTGTTAGATAACTCAAGTGAAAGTAAGGTCAGTGCATTCCAAATCCTATGTGAAGTTTTTCCTTCAGTGAAGCAAGCACCTGATTTCCTACAGCTTTCACTACTTGGGCCCAGATTTAAACATGGTCATCCCCCAATATTTATGAGCAGTTATCTGTAATTTTCTCCTTGGGTTTTGTTTGTTTGTTTGTATTTTGTTTTGAGTCATGATGTTGTGCATCCTGGGCTGACCTTGAAATAGATATGTAGCTGAGGATGGCCTTGAACTTCTGATCATTCTGCCTCTCACTCCCCAATGCTGGGATTATAGGTATGAGCCACTATACTCAGTCTATACTTTGCTGGGGACTGAACGCAGGGTTCTGTGGATGCTACTCAAGTACTCTATCAACTGAGCCACATCCAAGCTCCCTTGCTGTTCAGCTTATTCAGTCTGTACATCCTCATTTTCTTCAGTCTTTCATCATATACATGTCCACCTCCCACCCTTACTTTCCTTTAACCGAGCTTTAGTTTTCTCTCTGATGATGGCCAACGTCCAGTGCAGCATTCAACTCCCCAGACAGGACTAGATCAGTGGAATTACTTCAGTCTTAGCAGATAGCTACCTGACAGGTTCTCCATTTTGATGCTGGCTATACACGATTGAAATACAAAAATAAGAAGGCTCTTACATGTTTTTCTTCAAACTGGTCTCCACCAAAAGCTGCCACACAGGGTTTGATACCTCCTGTCCCCAGAGCTATTAGACTCAGGCCAACCAATGATAAGATTCTGAAATCGAGAGGAAAGGATGCTATAACCATGTTGATACCAAACCAACTGTAGAAATGGACTGTAAAGATACATACGAGAAAAAAAGATATTTAAAGATAATATCTTCTTTGCCCATCTACCTTGTGTGTATTTTCTACTTGCCTTCAGTCCAAGTACCACTCATGAGAACTTATCATCTTCACATTTGAGCCTCTGCTAGAAACTGTGTTGCCTGAAAACATCCTATGCCTGGTAGTTCCACTTATCCTTTGTATGCATCAAGTGGAAGAGGACACACGGAAGTGAGCACACTAATTTTTAATACCATGTTAGCAATTCAATTGAAAGATCTTAAGGACTCTAACCTTACATACCTTTACTAACTACAGAGTAAAATATTAAAATTTATCATAATAATCAGGAATGGCATCAACAAGTTTTATGGAGCAGGAATAAGAAGGTATTTAATGAGTATTGCTTTTCAAATAAAATAAAAATTTCAATTCAGAATGTACATATGTGAGTATGTTAAATTGATTATATATATTAAAATCTATCAAATACCTCTGCTCTATAAACACCAACACTTGAAATAAAGTGGGACTGTAAAATGGGACTATACAGGACTACACATAAATAGAAATGCCTCAAGTTTAAATATTACTTTTATTATAACATAAGTAAATACTTTTAAAATTTGTAATGGTGTAAAGATACATAGTTAGATAAGTAAATTAAGAAAAACAGAAGGTATAAAAGGTTTTCTTATTTTCAAGAAAATGAGTTTTTATGAGAAGGATACCAACTAGGCATTCTAAGTGTCTTCAAATGCTTACTTAGTAAAAAAAAAAATGAGACCTGATAATATAGGAAAGAGTTTGATTGCTCATAAAATCTTATATTTTAATAAGGTTGGCAATAAAATTATACACTAGAAAAAAGGTGAGTCTCTGATATAAAATAAAAAGCCATCTGCAGTGACTCTCTGAGACATGCACCTGTCTGATGTCAGAAAAGCACCGGTCCCATGATTTTACTCACGTATGTAGCATTTTTCCTCCCAGTATTGGTATGGCACCCAAAGACTTGAATACATGGCCAAGAACATACACCAGGGAGAGATAGATGATTGTCCTGTGAAGAAAGTCACATCAGTGATGGGTTGTTCAGAGACATGACTAGTACAGCGTCAGGGATCACACTGTTCTTAGTAAACAGAGGACGAGGAGAAGGGAGCGGAGGAGGAAAGACTGAACTGGGAGAAACAATGGTGAATGGAGTGAACAGAGGAGGGAAAAGAGTGTGATTCTTCACCATGGAGTATTTACTTGGAGGTTGCAGACATGTCTTTGAGTTCTCTTCCCAGATCTACATTCTGCCCTGCACTCTCAGGGCAACCCTACTTTTATACAGATGCAAGAAGAACTAGATTGGCTTGTAGCAAGCACCGGGATGTTTTCAATTAGTGAAATCAGGAGAACAGGATGCCTCTACCTGCTGTTCTTCTAAAGCAATGTCTTAGCTCTGGGAGGCAACAGGAGTGAAACATGAATGTGAAGTACACAGGAACGCTAAAACAAAGGACTTTCTCTAAACAAGCACTGAGATGTACAGAAAGGTGAAGGGATTTTTAGGTCCAATCTGGGTGATTTAAACACTCTGGCTAATTGTAAACCCCAGGACAGTTTCCACATGGATAATTTGCCAAAAATAGGGAAGCACAAAGGACTTAAGCTGTTTGGTGATAAAACCCAAGAAATTTAGGGGGGAAAATACCCTACCTGCTGAGTTATTTTTTCCAGTGAACTTGAATAGCAAATAAATAGCAGGTTAAGGAATTCCAATAAGAACATATGAACAGCTCTACACATTGGCATGGCACAATATCTATTGTACTCTTTGTATATATTACCATAAGTGAAATGCATATTATGCATATTACCATATAGGTGGAATATTAATTCTATAATAAACCTTCAGAATTACATATTTGTCTTTATCATTTTGAGAGTGCTTTATGCTGGTTTTGAATATAAAGAATGGAGTGAAGGAACCAGAAAGTCTCTAGAAGTACCAGAAATCTCAGCTTGGGAACTCCTCATTCTAAATGCCTAATCTTCTTTGATTGTGGGGATCTTTATTTAAAAACGAACAATTAGAAAGAAAGGGAATAAAAAGAAACTGAAAAAAATACTAGTTATCATGGACCTTGAGGAGAGAATGGTTGCTAAATCATTAGAGAGAAACAAATGGAATAGGGATGTAGAGATGGCTCCATGGTTAAGAGCTCTTAATGCTTCCAGAGACTGGATTCCATCATATTTAGTGGTTCATTGCCATCTGTAACTCCAGCTCCAGGGAATCTAATGCCTGACCCCCTGCCTCTGTAAGCAAACACATGTGCCATTCTCTTACACAACACATAGACACATACCATAAAAGTACCTTAATTAAATCTTCAAGATTTCCTTATACAATAGATTGGGATTCTGGGTGCTCATTTCCTGTTGTGTAGCTTGGATTCCAGGCTAGTAAGCAGAGAAAGGCTTCTGGTAGTTGTTAACTGAATTCATAAAATCATTCCTTGAATTTCTTCCTGACATAAGTCTTCTACTCTTCTACCTCAAATTGGAAAAAAAGTACAGGAGAGTTGGAGAGAGTGAGAGAGAGAGAGAGAGAGAGAGAGAGAGAGAGAGAGAGAGAGAGAGAGAGAGAGAGAGAGAGAGAGAGAGAGAGAGAAGGGTGGGGGGAAAAGACAGGTGGAAGAGCAGGAGGAAAAGGAGGAAGACAGGAAAGTTGACAGAAGCACGAAACAGAAACAGAGAGATAGACAAAGAAAGAGACAAGCTTCAACATATTCCTTTTTCCTTCACTGAGGCAAGGCTGCCACTTCAGGCTTTAAAAAGTGAAAGAAGAGCAATACCCACCAGATTGTCATCATTCTATTTGTGGGTAAGGGCTCTCACATGTTTGTCTACACACACATACATATGTCTACAGGAGGACAAATTATTCAAGTTTTAAGTCACCTTATTTCTAAAAGAGAATCAAGGCATTCCTCAACATGTGTTGTTTAAAAAGGACAAGTCCCAAAGTAAATAAAAATCACCTTTATTACTATCCATACCTGTTCTCAGTCTCAATTATGTTTTAGACAATAGTGTATAAACTCAATTATAGAAACATAGCAATGAAACACTTTAGGTATCCCCTTCCATTTTCCAGTTTAGAGACAAAGAAAATAAAAACAAAATGGTGACAACTGAGAGCAGCTGGAGTTAATATTGAAGAAGGTGAGTGTAAGTGATACTGTACATTAGAATCTGAAGAATCACACAGTGAATTCAATGTGTGAACATAAGGAAGCCACTATAAAGGACAGTGTGTGGCGGTGTCCTAGGTCGGGCCCCAAATGATGTGACAGACTTTGATGATCCCCTCCCTGAGGAGTGGATGGAGGGGTGGGATGGGGAGATGGTGGAGGAAATGGGGGGATGGGAAGGAGAGGGAACTGGGATTGGTATGTAAAATAAAATCATTTTAATTTAAATAAAAATTAATTTATAAAAAGAAAGTAGGTTTAACTAGAAAAAAAGAATTCGATCAATGTTGAGTTAAGAGTACAAGCAGAGAATATTAAATTTCCTCCAAAATATTCAGGAAGCTATTGTTCAACAAATCCTGAAGTTGTACTTCTTCAATCTCAAAGGAAGTTATTTTAAAAATGCAACTGCAGTATCAGCCTTTATTCTATAACCGAATGAAAAACCCATAGCTTGTATTTTTTTATTCTTTGTGTTGTGTAATGTCAATCCATAGCTGAATGAATTCAATGACTATTACTACATAAGTAACAAATGCAGCCACTTACCCACCATGCCTCTCTTGAGTGACTGCATTTATTTATTCACAAATTTATTCATGAATCTGTGTGTATGTGTACATAAACATAGCAAATTAAGACTGAGATCAGTGTTTACAGTTAAAGTTCTATGTGGTTAGTTTTAATCGTCAACTTGACAAAACTAGAATTCCCCAGAAGAGAATCTTAATGAGGAATTATCTAGATCTATTTTGGCATTAGACATTGTCTATGGGAGGGAGGTTGTTTTGATTGTTAATTAATGTAGAAAGACACAACCCACTGTGGGTAGTGCCATTCCTTAGGCAGGGGGTCCTGAACATATTAGTGGAAAAAGCTAACTGAAAGAAAATAAGCAGGGTTGAATTTACTCTCTCACTGCTCCTGACTGGGGCATGAGTGATATGATTAGATACTTGGATTGCTGCCTTGACTTTGTCAAAATGATGACAATAACTTAGAATTGTAAGTCAAACAAACCTCTTACTCTCTGTATTGCTTTTTTTTGTTAGGGTATTAGTCATAGCAACAGAAGTGAAGCAAAGGCAAGTTCTTTCAAACACTAGGTCTACAAATATAATACCACATTGTCAACCTACTTTAGGAAACAACACATACTTAACTTTCACTAGGAGATTTTACAGTGTGTATTAACTTATTGGAGACTAAAAGAAATTATACAGTAAAGAAACATGTTCTAATGTTTCCAAAACAACATAGGATTTTTCTAAACAAGTGCTTAGAAGCTTTATTTTCTAACATAATTCAAGTTTTTAAAAGATTGTATTTTGAGAAATGCTAACTCAGACAAATCCATGAATGGTAAACTTACAGAATATTATATTACTAGATAGTGAATACCAAGATGTTATAGAGGACAACTATACCATTATACCAAATCTGTCGCTTCTATTTTTAGGAACAGAAGAGGTGAACTAATTGGACTATTACTTTAACTTGTGGAAATCTTTACAGAGTCTAAAGAAGGAAACTATAGAAAGAGGTGATGAAGGTAAACAGAGACATTTTAAAGCCTTTGAAAAGAAAGAAAGAGCAATAAAATGCTGAAGGAGGTAAGGTGAAGGAGTCTGAGGAAGACATAAAATATTAGAACAATCATAGTAAGCCTTTACCAATATGAATTTGACAGTCTGTATCAGTCTTTACTCTCACTGAGATAAAAAAGATTCGGCCACAAGCTACAGAGTAGAAGACTAAAATTAGATTTTAAGAAGGAACTCTTGACTAAAAGGATGTGAAAATATTGGGGGATGAGCATGGAAAGAACAGATTTTGAGCTTTTTTTTCCCTCTTGGAGAGATACTTGTCATAACCATGAGTTTTTCTGTTTTGTTTTGTTTTTTATCTTTGTTGTTGGTTTTGTTTTGATTTGGATTTTTGTTTGTTTGTTTTTTGTTTTTGCTAGAAGATAAAAAATTAGGAGTTGTAGGTAACTTTCTGGGCAATGAACCTGTGAGGCTCCTGAGGCCGTAAACTGCCATTGTTCTTACTTGAATTTTCCCAGCCACGAGTCAGCAATTGCTGCTCCCAAGATGGGGGTGAAATAGCAGAGGCTGCTGAAGGCATGGTATACAGATGTGGAGGTATCTTCATTCCAGTGCAGGAAATACAGGAAATACAAGGTCAGCACAGCTGTGATGAAACAGAAGAAAACAAATGGGAGACAAAATAAGATAGATGCAATAAAATGATTTACAGGGAAATATATTTGATTTCAGGGCTCTACAGGTGATTCTGGCATTCAGCACTCCTACTAGTGAAATAACTGAGTGATGACTGCCGGGCAGTAGAAGCAAGGCCCATGGGAACTATGAAGTAAATGAGGCATGCTGGATACACAAATACAATACTCATGCCTTCAATCTCTGTGCACCCATAGCATCATTTAGATTGCGAGAAGTTAACATGGTACTTCCCATACCCCTTCCCCCTCTCCTTCCCAGAAATAACAGAGTTCAGTGGAACTTACATGATGAGAGCTTTTCCACATGTGTTTTCATTGGCTGTGTGTTAGTTCTGCAGGCCTTTTTTTTTTTTTACCTTAACTGCCATGAATTATTAAAGAAATCTTATGAGGTATTTACTATCATGGACAGAGAGAAGGATCAATTTATACCAAGGCAGAAAGAATAGAGAAAGGAAACAAGTATAAGTAAAGAGACAAGGCTTCTGTAAACATAAGGCAGAGAAGACTCTGGAACACAGAATTACCTTTCATGCCATAATAGGAAAAACGTTCGCAGAATTCATTCACCACAATGAAGGCAATGCTGAGTGGATAGCTGGAGCCAAAGATTTTCTAGTCAACAAAGAGGCAAAGGTTGAGGAATGATCTGTTTTCACACTTAAACTTCATGGTAACACTACAACTGAAAACATATCTTTAAATATATGTATATGAAAGAGGTTCTCATCATTTTGCCCAGGCTGACCTCCATATTGTGATATTCCTGCTACAGGTTCCCAGAAAGCTCAGGTTGTAGGTGAACCCCACCATGCCTGAATAAACTCATTTTTAAATCATTGTTTTCAGTTAACATGGAACAATGGTCTCTTCATAAAACATACATTATCATACTAGCTATGCTTATATTGTCAATGTGGGAATCTTACTTTGTCTGTTATTTAACATGGAATTGGTCAGATATTCCTTTATCATTTCCCTACAGTATACCATTCTCTAGGGAGAGGATGGTAAGAATACAATATACTGCTAAGAATAAAATGAAAAGATGGTCTTTGGCGTGCCAGATACCCACACAATCAGAGCCAGATCTCACTATCCCACATGGCTCCGCTATAGAGACTGACTCCTCCGATTTGGCGTGTTTACCATTCTGGGAGAAATCTTAACAATACGAAGGCTTCCTTTATCCAGTGGCTGAAGGAAGCAGAGGCAGACACCCACAGCTAAACACTGAACTGAACTCCTTGAACCCAGCTGCAGAGAGGGAGGAATGATGAGCAAAGGGGTTATGACTTGGCAAATGAAACCCACAGAAACAGCTGACCTGAAAAAGGGGAAGCTCATAGACCCCAGACTGATAGCTAAGAGGCCAGCATGGGACTGATCCAGACCCCTTGAACATGGGTGTCAGTAAGGAGGCTTCAGCATCCTTTGGGGCCTCAGGCAGTATATCAGCATTTAACCCTGTCATCCAGATGGACTTTGGGAGCCCATTCCATGTGGAGGGATGCTGTCTCTGCCTGGACACATGGGGGGAGAGCCTAGGCCCTGCCCAGATCATATGACAGACTCTTCAGATCCCCTATGAAGGGCCTCACCCTCCTTGGAGAGTGGAGTGGGGATTGGAGGAGGGGTTGGGGGAGGGTTGAAGGGGAGCGGGGGAGGGTTGAAGGGGAGCGAGGGGAGGAGGGGAGGGAGAGGGAGCTGGGTTTGACATGTGAAGCAAACTTGTTTCTAATTTAAATTAAATTTTAAAAAATTAAAAAAACAAACATTATGAAGGCTTCCTTTTAATAGGCTGCTGGAATCAGGCATAGAGCTCAAAATGGAAGCCAGATATTCCTAAAGGTAAGCTGATTGATCACCTTAACTCTAGGAAGAGGATTTGCAAATCCTATGAAATTAAATATCCACCCTCCCTCCCTACTAGTATGCCTCCATACTATTTCCTTTTTAATTTTATTTGTATTTATGTGTGTATGTGAGAGTGTATGCCATGTGTATGTGGGTGCCTGCAGAGGCCAGAAAAAAGGTGTTGGATCTCCTGGAGCTGGAGTTTCAGGTCTGACATGGGACCTAGGAGTCAAACTTTGGAAGAACACCACATACTTTTAACTGCTGAGCCATCTCTCCAGCACCAAGATTTTCATTTGCAGCCTGCACATTAGAGTAACTATGCTATCGCATGCATTATGTAATTCAGACTATAAAGGGTATTAAGTTTTATTTCAAATCTCTTTCTATTACAATAGCTGCATGATAAATAATTTGTCTCTTGAGACATTCAACATTAGCATGCGATTACATTATCTCTCACTTCATAGGTATGTATCTCTTTTTAATCATCCTTAACAAGACATAATTTGATTAACTATATAATAAATTAACATAATCTGCCTTTTACCCATGTATATATGAATAAATCATATTTCTACATACATGCTACTACATGATAATACCTTGCTTGAAAGATTCAATGAATTGAAATATTGTTTTACCAGCTACCAGATTGAGAACTACCTAACATAGAATTTATTTAACACTAGCTTTGTACTAATTGGATTAACATTCAAACCTTACTTAAGCTACAGCAATAGCCTGTCTCTGTGCTTCAATTCTGTTAGTCTAAAGAAATAAGAATCCTACTGAGCTCATGTTTGATAGTAAGAACTCAGCAAACATTGGCTATTGTTACTGTGGCGTCTCTGCTGAGAGGGTTTTACTATAATATGAGAATTGACTGAGGTGATAAATTCGGAAGTGCTTTAAAACGCGCATAATGCAAGATATTATTCTTTGTTCCTCTCTCGGCTCTCCCACTTTAAAGTAGGGACACTTCGTAACAGAGAGTGAATCTATTCTACAGCCTCTATTCGTGTCCAAAAAAGAAGGCTCTGCACACAAGGGGAGCTAAAGGCTGAGTTTTCGTATTGGTAAAAGAACAATCACATACAGTTCTCCAGACAGGAACGCTTGCCAAATTTCCCTGGACATTCAAAGTGCTTTTTCTCCCCCAGGAAATATGCAGTGAAATACCGCAAAACTCTGGGGCCCAAAGTAAAAATTCTGGCGAACCTATCCCATGGCTTCCTTCCAGAAACAGAAGAAACTAGAATTCATTTTCAGGTGAATTCTAATTCCACGAGAGAGTAGTTTTTCTACTCTGATACAGTTCAGTGTAAAGTTTCAATAGCCAAGGAGGAACTTCAGAAAGTGCCTACACTGCTAATGCCAAGAGACAAACTGAATTTGGGGACTCACCGGCGGTGGAGGCTTCTTTGGAGGACTTTGAGGTCTAGGCAGCACCTCTTCGGTAGAGACAGGTGAAAAAAGAGTTTCCTTGGACTCGTTTTTCTGGAAGGGATTCATGGCTGGCTCCTTACTCTCTCTCTGCTCAAGCATTTGGCTTCAGTAGGCAGTTAGGACAGCTGCCAGCCTACAGTGAAAAGGGGCACTGGCAGGAGGAGGGATGGCTACAGCAACGAGGTTTAACCCTCTGAATGTCAGTTTTGGTAGCTGCCTGCCTCCAGGCAGAGCGGGAAGCTATAGGAAATGAGAGGGTCAGGCATGCCAATTTCAAAAGAATGTTGTGTAAAAGGCATGGCATGGGGAAGAACAACATGTCCCATGTCACAAGATGAAAAGGAACAATGCTAGAGAATTTATTAGGGTTATCTGTTTAAGAGAAATATCTTAATTAATGAGTACCAGATAGTACACAAGAATGCAACATTTTGATTAGTGATTTACCTCAGTGGTAGATCACTGTGCCTTACACATATAAGGTCCTGGATCTGATCGATAATGATCTGGGGTGGGGGAAGAGTACAACATTCTAAATACAGAAGGCTGATTTCAGGTTAATAATATCTACCATTATTGGGCACTTATTATTTGCAACGTTAATACATATATGAGCTATATGTATATTAAGTGTGCATATACAACCTGTATGAATTTTATTGCTATCTTCATTATACAGAAATTATTGTTCCAAGAAATTGACAAACTTATCTAAAAATCACAAGGCCAGTAAGCGGTGGATCTGGAATTTTCACTATGCAGCAAGATAGGAAAAGGCAGAGATAGGTATCAGCAGTGGCCCTTCAGGCTCTGCAGGTATGGAAGCTATGGGCATGGAAATGTAGGACGGCAAGGACATCAAAACGCTTTGAAGACGGAAGCCATATCCAAACTGAATTTGAGAATAAGAATGAAACCAATGTGGATTTCAATATTGCAACATTCAGCCAGAAGATCCTGTAAAAATAATAGGGCTAAGGAAAATGACAGGAGAGACATGGCCCAGCTGTCACAAGCTAGGCTCACAACCAAAAATAAAAGAAAATGCCTGAAAACATGTTCTTGATGTCCTTTGCGAAAGCCACTTACTGCATTTTCAGATTAACCTATTCATTCTTTTTTTTTTTTTTTTTTTTTGGTTTTACAAGACAAGGTTTCTCTGTATTGTTTTGGAGACTGTCGGTCCAGCCTGGCCTCAAACTCACAGAGATCCGCCTGCCTCTGCCTCCCGAGTTCTGGGATTAAAGGCGCGCGCCGCCACTGCCCAGCTAACCTATTAATTCTTTAAAAAATAAAATTTAATTTTGTGCAAAAATTATGAACCAGTTACTTTCTAGGTACTATTGCAAACATTAAATTTTCTTAACTTTTGGTGGATGGATTTTATTCTGACTCTAGAATACTATACTTAATCTTTAAGAGAAGAGAGGCTAGAACATACATGGTGACTGCATTGAATTGAATGTATAAACCACCAAGTCAGGCAATACCAACATGAGTAATTTCACTTGAGACTGCCAAAAACGAAGAGTGGCAGGATAAGTAGGAGACCATGTAGGGAGGGGGCAAATATGAGTAAAGTAAAATACACATACAAAATTTTTTATAAAGAAAGTCATTATCTTCTATGATCACTCAGAATTTTTAAAAAAAAGAAAAGAGTCTATGGTACTATTTCATGAAAAAATTCTTACATTACCCATTTGAATTATTTTTTCCACAAATGAAACCTTTTTTTACCTAAACTCTATTTTCATTTATTTAAAATTTTCTATTCATTTTACATACCAACCGCAGTTCCCTTCCCTCTCTTTCCCCTGACTCCTACCTCCCCCTACCACACCTCAGAAAGGATAAGGCCTCCCATGGGGAGTCAACAAAGCACCCCGGTTGAGGCAGAACCAAGCTTCTCCCCCTGCATCAGGGCTGAGCAAGGCATCCCACCATAGGGAAGTCAGCTCATGGACCAGGGATAGATCTTACTTTGCTGGAGAGTTGACTCAATGGTTAAGAGCACGGACTGCTCTTCCAGAGTACAGGGGTTCAATTCTCAGCACCCACAACTATGTCATCCAGCATCTCAAACAGATATGTATGCAGGCAAAACACCAGTGCACATTAAAAAAATTTCCCTAAACTTTAACTTGAACTTTGACCAGGTTTTCTCAGCGTCTCTTATACTCTTCATCTGTTCTCTCTCCCACCAGCCTTTACCCAAAGAGTAGTCCAGCTTTACTTCTGCCTGTAGCATTAATGATTAATCTGTAGTTATTCTTTTAGGAAATATTGCCTTACCTGACCTACCTTGGTTAAATAATAAATCTAAAATAGGCAAAAGTTTCTGGTCAAGTCAACTAGTAGAGGCACAAGTGCCATTAGACTGTATTATGTCACTGACTTCCCTTGCTCTGGCTTTGTACTTCTAGATGACATTTAATTTGAAAGCACAGATGATGAACCTGTAGGCAACGCACCAATTCACTCATACTCAGAGGTCTCCCGATTACCAAACTCCAAAGTGTGAGCTTTGGTTCCCAAACAAATTCCTATGAAATTTGTCTTTATGTGAGACTAGGTCTTACCTGGTCCCCACCTCCCTCGTTATCCAAGGATGACCTTGAATGTCTGATCCTCCTACTTCTACCTCCAGAGTATTGAATGTTGGGATTCCAGGAATGAGTCACTACTCCTGGATTATATAGTGCTGGAGATTGAACTCAGGGCTTTGTGAATGCTAAGCAAGCACTCTACCAACTGATTCATATCTCAAAGCCTGACATTCATCTCTTGATTATGGCAATAGAATAACAATATTCATAGAACCAAATAATATCAGAGATTTAAGGAATCTTAGGTTTGAGCCTTTCTTAGGTAAATTCAGCTTCTCTGATATTAAGAATCATTTGGAGCAATACCATAAGGAGGTGCTTTCTGTATGCTATTTTTTTTTTGGTTAGGCTTGTCTCAAATAGAAAGATAAAGGTCTAAGAAATAACTAAGAGAAAACATCTTTGACATAAGAATGAATACAAACTCCCCAGAGACACAAAAGGCAATAGAAATAGAAGAATCTGAATATCAGAATCAAATGTCAGTGACAAAAGTAAAAGACATTTGTGGCCTTTGTGATGTGACAGCAGAGAATAGTTTTGTTACTCATAGAAATGAGCTCTAAAATGAGTAGTCAGAGAAAAGAAGCAAACATGAAGACCTCTTGAATGTAGGTGGCAGTGAGGAGGCCTAGGTAATCTATTGAGCCTTGGGTAATAGATCAGTGTTCATCCCACGTATACAAATGGACATTGGACTCCCATCCAACAATGAGAGATGCACTCTCACCCTGAACTCTTGGAGGAAGCTCTAGGCCCTGCCCTGGATGAAATGACAGACCATGGACACCCCCATGGAGGGCCTCACCCTCCCTGGGGAAATGAGGGGATATTGGGGAGGTTGGTGGGAGGGCACAGGAGGAGGGGAGGGAAACGGAGAGGGACCTGGAATTCACATGTGAAGCAACCTTGTTTCTAAATTAAATTTAAGTATATATATATAAGTAAATGTGTATTTAATAATGCCTAAACTATAAAAATCAGCCTCCCAAAAACTGTATTTAAGTATCGGCAACAAATAAATAGATAAGGGAACTTAAATATCAGTCTTAATCACATAAAAAGTAAATGAAATGAAAGATGTTGAGAACTCAACCCTGAAGCTATCAAATGTTAGTGAAAGAGAGAGGATATTAAAGACTTGAATAAACGGAGACATGCCATATTCATGATTTGGAAGGTTCATATTATAAAATGTCAATAGTCCCTTGTATCTATAGCAGAAGATCCCAGTAGGTTTTATAAATGTAAACAAATGACTATTTGATTCTTCTTTCTCTCTTTTTTTTTTTTTTTTTTTGGTAATTTGAGACAGGATTTCTCTGTGTAACAGCTTTGGCTGTCCTAGAACTCTCTGTAGTCCATGCTGTCCTTGAACTCACAGAGATTTATCTGCCTCTGCCTCCTGAGTGCTGGGATTAAACACATGCACCACCACCTGGAGACTCTTTGATTTTTACAATTCAAATGAAAATGCAAAAAGCCAAGAATAGCAAAGTCAATTTTAAAGAATAATTGTGGAGGATTTGGACTACCCAACCAACAACTATTATGAAGCTGTAGTAATCAGAACATGACTGTCACAAAGATAGACAAGGCAATCAATGGAACAGAACAGAATTCAGAGATAGATCCACACAGACTCTGTCTTTAACAAAGGTAATGTTACAGTGCGTGTGTGGATAGAGGGATCACAGTGCTTTCAATAAACATACTGTTTGAATATACTTATGAAGAAAAGTTTTATCTTTCTACCAATAAATAAATAAATTCTTCATAGATTGAGGGTTTAAATATTAAAGTAAAAATCGAGATTTTTGGAATCAAATCTAAGAGATATGTTTATAACTGTGGAATAAGCCAAAAGTTCTTGAAAACTATATAAAATAGGGTAATTTTAAAAGAAAAGAAAGATGACATTCTTAATATTGAAATTAATAAACATTGTTTACGAAAAGATACCATTAAAGATGAAAAATACATGCCTGTGAGAGAAAATGTTAATAGTATGTGTATCTATCAAAAGTGATATGCCCATGCTATGTAAGCAATTCCAAAAATCAATTGTAGATGAATAAGCAAATGTTCAAAAGGAACAAACAGATGTGTCTCAAATAGTCAATAAATCTGTGAACAGGTCATCAATTTTATGTGTGCAAATACAGTTCAACTATGAGCTTATGAGTTAAATTTATCTGTAAGATAACACATAGAAGGGAGATTGCTGAACAAAAATAAATGATTTTGAATTTTTTCCATCTATCATTTTCTTTGCCCGTTTTCTACTAAATTGTTAACCTTTGTAAATCTGTAAGATATATTTGAGTATTGCTGATATTAACCCTGCCATTCTTTGTGTTGCAAATGTCTTTTCTATTGATTTTATAGACTTTACAATTAGATATAACATAGCAAAGTGCACAAATCATAAACATACAATTCCATTGCTTTTTACACATATGAAACTCACACAGCTACCAAACAAAGTAAAACACATTCTCTAGTTAAAAAAACACTCTTCTCATTGCTGGAAGTCCTTCACAGAATAATACCCATTGCTTGTCTTTTGACTCCTAGTCAAATTCTCCTCCACTGGAGTTATCACTATTCTCTCATCATCATGGATTTTATTTGCTTCTACTGAGTTTCATATAAATAGAGTATCACTGCTCGCATTCTCTGTGTCAGATTCCTGTTACTCAATTCTACATCTATGTTGTTTCCCAAAGCAAGATTATTTTTTCTTCTGTTTGGTCAAATTCACTACATAAATACATCACTATTTATTTAGTCATTCTTATGTTGATGGACATTTGGGTGGTTCCAGCTTTAGTGTTGACCATTGTCAACTTAGTTTAAACCGGAACATGTTTCTCAGAATCACTTTCTCTGTTAGGCTCTTGGTCTCCACTTGCAAAGAAGAAAAAGAAATTAAAGCAGCAGGTGTTACCTGAGTGTCAGACTGTTGTGACTTGACATTAATGAGCCTTTCTTGATGGCTCTGTAAGTGTAGGGCAATGCATTTGAAGTTCACATGCTTTCAAGTTTTTAGGGTTTTATTTTTCTTAGGCTCTTCAGAGTGTCTGTGATACAATGATATACATACTTTGATTTTCATTTGAGACTCTTGGCTCATTGCTCCTGTAATTCTTATTTTCTAAGTCTTTTAAGTCACAGAATGATGTTGGGATATTTTCAAACTCCAAAGCAACCTCAGAAAACAGACTCTCTTCCTGTCTCCCTCATTTTCTCCTCTTCCTCTTTTCCTCCCTCCCCCCATGTCTCCTTCTTCTACCATTCCACCTGCTCATTTTCTCTGGTCCCTAAGGCAGACCAGAGAAACTAGAATTTCAGTCCAACAAGGAAGACCACAGAGACTAAAAATATATCCTGATCTTATCCTATTGTTTTTAGGGCAGGTCATAAAAAGACAGTCTGATCTTCTTTGTTTAACAGTAGACCGTTTTAATTTCAGAAGACCTTGCCACAGGCCCACAGGGAAGAGATGCTGAAGAATCTGGACAGGCCTCTTTAGGTTTCTTCATCCAATCTATTTGCAGCCATGCCTATGCAATGAATTTTCTATTGACTCCAAAAGGACGTGATCTGGAGAGCATCCAGACTGCTGAACTTTGTGTACCTAGAGAGGGCGTAGACTTTCCACACCCCTTCCCCATACCTTGGCCTATCACCTCTTCACATTATCCTTTATAAAAATATGTTTATGAGCTTGTAAACCACTGGAGCAAGTTAACTGAACAAGAGGAGTAATTATAGTGAGCTTCATGTATAACCAATTGTCTGAAACACAAATAAATAATCTAGTGCTTATGACTGACATCTGATGTGAGAGGGAGAAGCCTTGGGGACTGGACCCTCACCCTATGTGACTTGAAGTTATCTCCAGGCAGGTAGTATGATAGCTAATTTGGATTAGAAGACATACAACTAAACCAGTGTCTGCTGCAGAATTCCTGTTTGCCTGTTGGAGAGAAATCCACCACACATTTTGGGATTACAAGATTTTTTAGTTGATTTTGACAGTGAAGACTACAGGACAAATCCAAAACCTTATTCCACTCCCCATCCATGAAGGGTGTACAGAATAATGATGAATTCATTAAAATGGCATTTAAACTGGGTGTGCTAATGCATGCCTAATTTCTGAATTTAGGAGGTTGAGGCAGGAGGATCATGAGTTAGAGGCCAGCCTGGGCTATATACTGAGGCTCTGTCTCAAAAATATGCCTACCTCAAAAAATCTTAAGAATATTTCATTTACAAGGGGGAAAAAAGAGGAAAAAGGCTGAGCTGTTTTGATTATAGGAAATAGAGTATGGGAGCCAACCTTACTAGCTCATCCACTGTGTACTCATTTCTTGTAGTAAATAGTAATAAAAGGAATTCCAGTATAACAACTTTGAGTAAAAACTTTATCTTCCAAATTATTTTAGTAACATAAGAGGGGTGTTTTACTAGCTATATTGAATGTACGAACCTGCCTTCATTAAATAATAAATGACCTAGTGACAGTTTTCAGCTAAGTATTGATGAGTAAAACAGAAATTGAAGACAAATTAATGGAAGGGAGACTAGAGAGATGAAAAATGAAAGAAAGCAGGAGAAAGTAAAATCAGAACTTAAGATTGTTCATAAATGACAGTTAAAGAAATACCAGGGAGAAGAGACGAAGTTGAATTTTTTTCCATAATTGCCAAAATTTGAGGAAACCAAGATGCTATTCATAGGCAAGTGGATAAACTATGTAGACATTTAATAGTATTCAGCTTTAAAAAGAAATAGGTTATTGAACTATCAAGGTTGGTCTGAAAAGGTCATATACTGTATAAGTTCAACCACAGAATACTAGAAAAAGGTAAAAACTGTATAAAGTAATGTGTAATATGTTGTCAAGCCAGGAGTAATAGTGACTCATGTCTAACTTCAGCAATTGGGGATGAGGAAGGAGAACTGAGGAATGTTCAAGGCCGGGCTGAACAAAAAGGCAGAACACAGATTTCTAACTATTCTATGTTTACTATAATGATGAACTTATGCTGTTACTGTACACATTGGTGAAAAAAATCTATAGAGTGCACAATATCAAGTAAGAATACTATTGTAAGTCATGTACTTTGGCAGTGATGACCTGTTGTGAAGGCCATCAGCTATAGCAAGTATACACCCCTTTGGCATGGGGTGGCAGTCGGGTCAGAGGAAAAGGACTCTCACAACTTTCTCATAAAATTTTCTGTGAACCTAAAACTGATTTAAAAAATTAGCCGGGTGTTGGTAGCGCACGCCTTTAATCCTAGCACTTGGGAGGCAGAGGCAGGCAGATTTCTGTGAGTTCGAGGCCAACCTGATCTTTAGAGCAAGTGGAGGATAGGCTCCAAAGCTACACAGAGAAACCCTGTCTTAAAAGCAAAACAAAAAATTAATAAGGAACATGTTGTTTGGTAGATTTTAGCTATAATGAAATATTTTTATTTCCTTCAATTCAAAGGTGTTATAAATATAAACACCAAATACTTAAACTCTTCTCTTGAAAGCAAAAACACAAAAGAGATAACATAACAAAACATATTAGAATAATCATTTAACTTCTGTTTTATATAAGTTAAAGTGTAAATTTGGCAAGAATTAAAGTATTTTCAGGCACAATTCAAGAAATATCAGATAAGAAAGTTACAACCATAATAAAACATACAAATTCTTGCTATAAATCAATTGTTTTAGCATTTCACAATTTGGGACAGAAAAGTAGTAAAATAGAGCCCTGGACTTTTACTCTGGAATATTAGATCTGCAGTGTGTTTATTCTCAATACTGGGACAAGTTCCCTAACTTCTGAATCTGTTTTTCTCATCTATCAAACATGCTGACAGTTTTGTATGAATAAGTAAATATAACACATGAGAATACCAATAAAAAGTTGAAAATTCTGGATCAATTTAATTTTATAACAAAAGTTACATGTTTTCCTTAGCCACAGGAATATTTAATCTTAATACAAAATGGATTGCCACAGTCTTACAAATGTTTTATTTGTAACTCAATATTGTTTCAGTCATCACTGTCACTTTCTGATTCACTCAGTTGCAAATCATTTCCTAAAATAAAACACAGCAAAATCGTAGTAATTAGAAATTTGAACTGTTAATTTTAACATATTCATTTAGTCCATCAAAAATAAATGTGCAAACGTCATGTCAAAAGTGATTTTATTAATTTAGCATTTTGCAACTGATAATATGATTGCTTATCATGTAATCCAGCCACATATCTGGTAAAGCAATCAATACTGCTTAGAAAGTCAAAACCACAGCAGCAAACTTCAACACAGTTTTTTGTACCACTTGCCATTTATTTTAGCCTTCTTACACACACTGATGACATCTTTACACTAGTGACTAATTACACCAAGAAATGAGAGAAAAATGCTTTTTAAAAATCAGACCATTGTTAGCCGGGTGTTGGTGGCGCACGCCTTTAATCCCAGCACTCGGGAGGCAGAGGCAGGCGGATCTCTGTGAGTTCGAGGCCAGGCTGGACCGACAGCCTCCCAAACAGAGAAACCCTGTCTCGTAAAACCAAAAAAAAAAAAAAATCAGACCATTGTTTTCAAGAGTGTAAAGCATTACAACTTCTTTAATTTAAGATGCATTCTAAACCATTATGGAACAGATGTCAGGAATCACTAGGCTAGATGTCATTCGATGGCAGAATGTATGCCTACTAGGTACAGAGCCTGGTGTTTAATCCCTAGAACCCTAAAGAATATCTAATCACTGATGGATTTGTGACTATCTGTGAATTTAGTCAAGGAGCTAGCATTTCAATGGAGCAGAAGGACAGGAAATAGATATCTAGCTAGTATACTGTCAAGTAGGGACAAATGCTATGAAGAACTGTAGAGAGACAGTAGAAAGAGCTATTATAGATACTGTAGCTGAGAAGGCTTTATGAGGGCAAAATTTAAAAGAAATTTAAAGCAGAAAGTCATAAAAATAGAGGCATAGTGTCTAACCTAAAATAACAAATAAAAATGCCCAAGGAAAGTGTAGAGTGGTTGTGATTTTTTAATTTGCTAATTTCACACATGAATACAGTGTATTTACATCATATCCACCTCCAACTCACCCCTCCAACTAACTCTTGCTGGACCTCCCTCTCCCTGACACTACATCATTCTCCAAACTTCATATCTTATTTTTCTTCTTCATCCTCTTCTTAAAAAATAATCAACTGAGTCCAATTAGTTCTGCCTGTATTACCAGAGTGTAGAGCCACTTAATGAAGCTTGGCCACACTTCTGCAGAAAACTGACTTTCCCTCAGGTGACATTCACTAGCTGCCAGAGTAGGGGTGGGACTTACATGGGGCTTTTTTGTTTTTGTTTTGTTTTGCTTTGTTTTTATTTGCAAAAGGCTACTATGGCTACAGTGGGATAAGTGAGGAAGACAAAGATAGGGAATGATGTCAGAAAGATACAGAAAAAGTCACAGTAAAGACTGAAACATAATGAGAGTGCATGGGACCATTTTAAGAAGGCAACTAAGTTGAAGCTAACTCTACATCAGTGAATACATTGTAATGGTGTAGAAGAAACAAAGAAGCAGGGAAAGAAGTTGAGTCTTTTCAGCTTCTCCAAGAAAATGCCAACTTTGACTTCCGGCATGCCAGAAGAACTGTCACTTCATCTTTGATGCTCTGTAGTTTAAGTGTTAGGTATGCCTTTATTTTCATTTATCCAGTTTAGTATATAGAGTAGATTCATGACTGTCTTCAGTCTTGGACAATTCTAAAGACTGAGTTTTTGTGCTCTCCCTTCTTCTGTTCTTTCATGGAATTCCTAGTATACAATGTTTAGTCATTGCTATCTATTTCCTTATCTCTAAACTGTTCTCTCTTACTTTTTATTTTATATTGTGCTCTCAGATAGTTCCTTAGTATTATCTTCCATCTTATTAATTAATTTTTCACACATGTTCATTTTGACCATTTATTGACCTTTTCAAGAAATTTCTATGACCTATCCTTCCAATTTTTATTTTTTAGACATTTATTTACTAGAGTAGGTTTTCATGCATGCACATGGGAGATAGAGGACTATTTGTGGATGTCAATTCTCTCCTTCCAGTGAGTTTGGGGGATTGAACTCAAGTCAGGAGACTTGGTGGCAAGTGTCCTTACCCATTGAGCCATCCCACTGATGTTAACTTATTTTTAAAGTGCTGGAATTAAAACTCTGAGCCTTGTATATGCTATGCAAACACTCTTCTGTAGTGCCACTTGGTTCTTACTTTTATAATTTATTGCATTTTGTTTTATTTCTGCTTTCCTTTGCTTTATTGTCTTTTTAAAGTTATGTCTTGGGTTAGGTGTGGTTACTCACACCTTTAATCCCAGCACTCTGAAGGTAGAAGCAGGTGAATTTTTGTGAGTTTGAAACCAACCTGGTCTATAAAGTGAGTTCCAGTCCAGTCAGACCTACATAATGAGACCTTGTCTCAAGTTAAAAAAAGAAAAAAAGAAATTATGTTTCCATTTATCTTTCTTAGCAACACATTTTTTTTCTTGTTTCAAAATTGTTTGCCCATTTTGAGAGGAAGGTGTCTCTTTTTCTCTACCTTTATAACACTCTTACAGGATTCTGTGGTTCTCTAAACCTAGCCTACAGCCCATTTACCAGAAACAGGTTTCACAATCACATTTAAAGATTGCTATCTCCTGAAGATATGGTGGGTCCCTTAAAGGAGCCACTGAATAACAAGGCTGTACAAACTCTGGCTTCTGAAATAGTAGCCGCAGTCAGCATATAAATTGTACTTTTTTCCTAGCTTCCAGTCACTAACTGAAGATCATCCACATATCTACTAATCCTTGCCATCTTGCCTTGCCCCCACCATACATTTAAATTCCCTGCAACTTTGTGTGTGTTCATGTGCACATGTCTGTGCATGCAGAAGCCAGAGGACAACTACCTTTTTTTTTTTTTTTTTTTTTGAGACAAGATCTCTCACCAGCCTGGAACTCACTAAGTGTGTTTATCTGGCTCCAGAGATCTGCCTGTCTCTGCACGGCCATACTCAGGTTTTGCTATTTTTTTTAACATTGATTCTATGGATTCAACTAAGTCTTCCAAGCACCCTCCTAACTGAGTTATCTTTCTAGCCGCATATCAAGCACTGTATGTGTATATATGCATGTGTCTGTACATGTATGCAGAAGCCAGAACATAGTCTTGGATTTTGTTTTTCAGGCACCAGAATCTGCAATTAAGCTGGGCTGACTGAGAGTGCCTGTCTTTACCTCTCCAGCAGTAGGATGGCAGGCATGTGCCTCCCCAGTGGCCATACCCAGCTTTTTACATAGGTGCTGAGGTTGAAAACAGGTCTTCACACTTGCCAGGTAAGCACTTTACTGATGAAGCTATCACTCAACCCCCATTTCAAGCACTTTTAAGCTAACCTTTCTTGAAGGTATCCAAGCTACTTCCTACCACATCCCTTTAAACTCAAAACCAATACCCTCACAAAGCCCAATTTTTATGTTTGTGCTTCAGTTCTTTTCTTTAAAATTTTTTTGATTCTGCTTTTAAAACTATTTAATTGTATTTTATGCACATGGGATGTCTGTCTGCATACATGCCAGTGTACCACATAGTGTAAGCCCTAGGAGACCAGAAGAAAGGGACATATCCCCTGGATATGTCTGTAGTCTGTAACCCCAGTGCTGGATCCCTGGAGTTCACTGGCCAGTTAGTCTAGACAAATCATTGAATTGCAGGCAAAATGATAGAACCTGTCTAAAAAAATATGACAGAAAGTAATAGAGGGAGACACCTAACGTTGGCTTCTGAACTCCAAATGCATGTGCACACAAATGCATACATACTTGTATATATAATGCACACTACACATAAACAATTACATAAGAAATAAACAATAAAGCAATATACGTTATAATTAAATATGTTAAATAATCAATTACGTTATGGTCTACTCTATAGTGAAAGAAATTGCAAACTTTGAAAAGTTTAAAGCAGAAGAGGTGATAAATTATATTTGAATCATTTAAAGATTGATATGGCTAATAATATACATAGTGGATCAAAACAGCCTTGGCTGAATACACAACACTGGCATAAGATCAAGCCCATCAAACATAAATGCGGAAGGGCCTCACAAAACCCCACTCTGAGATGAAGAGCTATTGGCCGTTGATGGTTGGAGGTTGCTGGGAAGGAAAGCTCCGATGTTATCTTCAGAGATGCAACCCTGGAAGGTTGCCCTTGCTTCGGCGAATGGGCCTACAGTCATGTACACAAATAGACTGGAAAAATCAAGTGGACACAGTAGTTAAGACAAAGGGGGAACATGAAATTAAGAGGAAGACCTGGTAGTGGTAGCAGTGGAAATAAAGGAAATAAGCTGAATAGTAGTAGAAGTGAAAAGAAGTAAATGGATTAGGAAAATATTTAGGAGGTAAAAATCAACAGGATTTAGTGAAGTACTAACTACACACAAACAGAAAAGAGAGGAATCAATTCTATAATTCAATCAGGTTTCTGGTTTACACAATGAGACAAATGCTGCCATTCACTAGGCAAAAATGCAGTTGAGTCAAAGAATACCAGGTTGGTTTTTGGACAAAGTATATTTGAGGTGCATTTTACTAGAAGATGAAGCTAGACCAATCTGCCCAGGACTCAGAGGTCTGCATGGAGATATATATTTGACAGTTAACTACATAAAGGTATTTACTGAAACAGAAGCATTAGGGGGTTATCTAAGGAAAGAGGATAAAATAAAAAGACTGAGGAACCCCAACTCTAATGATAGAGTAGATTTTAAACTTGCAAAGGAGAAAAATGGCTAATTGTTATAAAACACATAAAATAAGACTCGTCTTTGACTAAATTTTAGTTCCCAACAAATATGGCTACATTGCAGATGCTATTTAGTTACCTGTGGCTATATATACTTACGTAAAGTACTCATCAGAAGGGCACTGTTGTCATGAAATCTGTTGCAGTTAGCCTCAATATCTGGAGTCCTGTACTGTGGTCTGGCAGACATGCTAGAATGTCCTGGGCTGTATGTCCCTGGACCTGAAGGAGAGGATTGGTCATCATCTTCTGAATCACTAGAACTATCCTCACTGCTTGAAGACGAAGTACTTTTGGAATCTGATGAACTATCACAACTACTCATCTGGTCCATTAAACTCGCTTCTGCCTTCAGTTCTGAAAATAGAAATAATAGGTAAAATAAATAACATAAAGAAACACAATAACATATACATGCATTAGCTTTTAAGAAGAAGTTGATAAGAAATAATTAAAAATAAAATACATATTTCAGAATCTAAAGCATTTATTTTAAAATTTCTTGTAGCATGCTGTCCAGAGACTCTCTAAACATGCAGGCTTTTATTGCTGCCCTTGGTTACCCCTGAGGTGGAGGTTGAAGATACCATGCACTTCAGGAAGAGGGCCAGAGACCCCTGAGCCGAAACTGACCTGAATGCCCTCTCCCTGAGGACTAACTTTCATGGTAACAGAAGGTGCCATCAGGTTTCCAATGGAGAGAGGCAACCAACAGTCCCACCCAGTTACAACACCTAAGAACCACATCAATGACTAGCATGACAAGATAACCCTAAGAGATCAATAGTGGTACATACACCTTGGTGATACCAGAAGCTCTATAATTGTAATTAAGATTAATTCAACCAGAGAAAGACCTTGCCTGGTATTGGAAACCTAGTTAACTGCTCAGTGCTAGTGAAGTCATGATTATTGGAAGAGAATCTGCAACCACTAATTTACTAAAAACCAGTATAAACCTTAATAACAACAATCTATAAACATTTGTCCTTACACTCACAGGTAAGTATAGTCTTCATCACTCATCAAGACAGAAATCACAAGAGAAAACTACAATCAGTCAAAATGCAGAGTTGTGGAGCCAGTCCCAGTAGATACAGCTTTCTTTAATACGCTATGGTCCAAAGCAGTTTTCATACTGCTTGTTGGCCATGTGAATATTTTTCTTTTGTTAAGAATCTGCTCAAATGTTTTCCTTGATTTTGGTTATCTTTTCCTTGTGGATTTGTAAACACTCTTTTTAGCTAGTTTTAGCTGGGAGTCCTTTGTTAGATATGTGCATTATGAATAATACTTCCTCTGAACCTTTGTAGCTAGGCTATAGTGCTCTCTGGTGTGCCACTAAGTCTCTGAAAGTTTGACTCCTTCTCATATTTGGTTTAAATGCAACCTTTTCTCAGGATTTCTTTCTTTCCAGCCTTCATTACTTGTTTTATTTTCTTTGGGACACTTATTTCTGAAGTTCATTTGAATACGTTTGTCATTTTACTTTTTGCTTCCTCTTCCCTCAACTTCATGGCCAGTAAAAACAATGTGAGAAGAGAAATTCAGTCTTAGTCATATTGTACAGTTCTTTTTGTATAATGCTAATATTTCTTTGAATTTTTTAATTTTAAGCTTATGAAAGACACTGGTTTATAGCTTTATTTTCTTATACATATTATCCATTTGGGGTGTCAGGGTAATATTATTCTCAAAAAATGATCTTGTCGGTGTTCCCTCCTATGTTGGTCACCTTTCTATTACTAGAACAAATATCTGAGGTATCAGTTCACAAATTGATAAGGTTTATTTTGACTCTCAGTATTAGAGGCTTCAGTTCACAATCAGGCAGACACATTGCTTTAGTGTATCTGATGGGGCCGCCAGATAGAAATGACAAGGACATGCCGCAGTGAAGTAAACATGGGCAAGGAGCTGAAGACAGGAAGAGGGAGGGGTAGGAATGTAATAACCCCTTCTAAGGTACAGGATACTAGGAAAAACTTTTATGTCTTTTTAGTTTTTTCTTTGTGACCCACGAGGTTAACCAGAGTCACTTTCATGGTCAGGGGTGTGAAGCTACTCACTTGAGGATGAGCAACTCATCAGTGGCTACGTCACTGAAAACAATGACCTCCTCTTTTCCCGCAGTTTTAGTTCCTCATATGTGACTTAACGCTTCCTGTCTCTGCCATGTGCAAGTCCTTGGTATGCAACTACAGCTGTTGGGAGTTCATGAGTGCATAGACAGTATGTCACTACCACCTTCCCTATCATTTGGCTCTTATATTATTTCCTTTCTTCCCTAGTGTTCCCTGACATAGTAGTAATGTTCTAAACATTTTTAATGTCTACTGGATCCATAGCAAAGGCATTACTCAACTGATTGTAGAAGTGTTCATTATATTCCCTATGTTAGTGATCCATATCTTTCCTGTTTTGTTTCTTAATAGAGGTTTATCAATTGTATCTTTGCATTAATATGCTTTCTGTTCACTGATGTTCTCTACTGTTTTAAATTTTACTTATAGTTTCTTTTTGCTTGCTATAGGTTTATTGTTTTCTTTTCCTGGGCATTGGAACTTCAGTTATGGCACCTTTCTCCTTTTCTAATTCGAGTATTTAAAGCATGCATCCCCCTTTGACACTGCTTTGGATGCATCCCACATATATTTTGGCATGCTGTGTTCACTTTCTGCATATAGTACCCTGCATTTCTAATTTCCTTTTGTTCTTTTTCCTTAACCCATAGACCATTTAAAAGTATGTGAATTTCCAAGTATTTAGAGATTTGTTTGTTGTCTGCATTGACTTTTAGTGTGATTGTGTTATAGTCAGAGTACAGAGTGATTGTATTATAGTCAGAGTACAGAGATTTTGTTTTAAATAAGTGAATTAGGTTTTTTCTTTTTTAATGCTCTGTGTGTGTGTGTGTGTGTGTGTGTGTGTGTGTGTGTGTGTGTGTGTGCGCGCGCGCGCATGCGAGCACGTGTGCCATAGCTCTTGTGTGGAAGTTAAAGGGTAGTTCACCTTTCAAAGGTCAGCTTTCTCTTTCTATCATGTGTATCCTGAGGACTGAACTCTGGTCACCAGACTTGGCAGCAACTGCCATTACCAACTGAACCTTCTCACTGACCCAGACTGCAATAATGTGATACTTTAGTCTGAAGTATAGGAGATGTCCGCTTCCCTACAATCATTTGTGAACTTTCCCTTCTGGTTATTCTGATAAGATAAGTAGACCCGCAAAGGACCCACAGAGACAGGCCACTTCTTTCCAGCACAGGCCCATCTTTTTCTCCATTCATCCAGTGACACTTGGAGTAGGCTCTTTCTGAGATGAGCCTTGCCTAAACACCACTTTTCTTTAATAAGCTCATGCCAATAGTATCTTTTACATCATCAGGTAATACTTCTTTTTGTTTTCCTGATGCACAAATGTGGCTATTAATGAGACATCCATGAATATTGTAAACAAAAAGTTTTATCTCCTTCAGCTTCTCTTTTTCAAAATAGTCAAATCTCAAAACTCTTCACTCTTCCATTATCCAACTGATGCCCATGTCTATACCCATACTATGCTCATCTCGTATTTCATAATATTCCACTTTTCCACCCTGTAAGGAACCCATCTCTATCAAATACTTTTTAATTAAATAAAATTAGTCATTATCCTATAATTCTCCATCCCATTCTTGCCAATGAGGCTATTTAGCTGTATTCAAGTTCAGAGGCTCAGTCACTTCATGAACTCCTTTCTGAATTTCATTTCATCAAAACTGATGGCACTTCACAACGAGAAGACAGCATCATATCCTCAGATCATTTCTGCAGTGTTCTGAAGTTCAGTGAGATGTAAACATGGAGATATGCCTTAGATATTCCCTAAATGTAAAACCTTATTGTGATAATTAAAGAGTTCTACTGTGGCATCTAATAAGGCAGAGCTGTCTTTGGACATTTCAGAACATCATCGATGAACCCAGGCACCGAACTGTTTGGCCACATTCTCAATTTCATCATGGTCTGTTGAAACTACTGAGTAGAATCCTCCCCTCCATTCCCTCCTCCAGTCATTTGATGTTCTTCAGAGGGATGCCTTTTGATGAGGATCAGCATCAGCACTGCCAGGTGTGTGGGTTTTCCAGGTCTCACCTATGCCCTGGCTGCATTGGGGCCAGCCCCATGACTGCCATTCATGCAGGGTGGGCACCAATGTAGCCTAAAGATTTTCTTATAGCTTAGGAAACAGTTTATGTTGTTGAAATTACTCAATGGTGACTTGAAAAAAAGTGCATTCTTTTATTATATTTAGTGATGTAGTGTGTGTGAATGTGTGAGAGAGACAGAGACAGAGATACAGGTGCCCAGAGACATACAGATAGACATAGACAGAGATGGAGAGAGGCACCTTGTTGGTTGGTTGATTATATTGCTAAGATTTTCTGTATCTTGTTTTAGAACTTTTTATTGACTCTGTGGATTTCACATCATGCATCCTGATCCTATTCATCTCCCCATCCCTTTATATCTACCTTCTGCACTTACAATCCCCCCCTCCAAAATACAATAAAAAATGAAAAACAAAGTCATGGAAGCTGTAGTGTGACACAGTGAGCCACACAGTATATCCTTTAGTCCTGGTGAGCTAGCTGGGCAGTGCTGGAGAGCTCGCCCTGGTGGTGAGGATGAGAGAAAACTGGTGGGCTGATCAACCCAACTATCACCCAGGCCCAGAACCAGGGTGAGTTGGCTCACCTCAAATTGACCTATTTATGATCTGCTGGAGCATGAAAAGGGGCCAAATCTGCAGATCCAAAGATGGAGATCTCCACAACACAGGGCAACAGCAGGATATCCAAGAGGAGTCACAGTGAGGATCCAGTATTGACAGTGTAGCAAAAGTCAGAGGCCTTGAACCAGACCAATGGCTCATTGCAATGAACACCTGCAATTAATTATGTATGAACTAAAGGGTTTTCTGTATCTAATTTATTTATTTTGACCACTGTCATCATCTGACACCCAGATCACAGTAAAGAAGTAACCCACTAAGCATTGTAGATGTTTATTTCTTTTTCCATTGTATCAGTTTTATCTTATAACTTTGCAGTTCTGTTGTTAGATACATTGTCTTCCTGCTAAATTAATTCTTTAATTATTACTAATGTACCTCTTTGTACAAATTTGTTTTGCTTGTAAGTCTGCTGTACCTGGTATAGCCATGTACACTTTAAAATGTTTACATAGTGCACTCTTGCAGTCTTTCATTTTAAGGCTGTCCATTTCATTAATTTCTTATGAAAAGCACATATTTTTGCAATCTCAATTTCAATTAATTTACTTAGACTACTTACATTTAAGTTAATTATTGGTATACTAAGGCTTACCTGTGTCATTTATTATTTGCTTTCTATTTATTTCCTCTATATTCGATCCCTCTGTTTCTCTTTTCTTTCATTTCTGTGGGATACCTGAACCTTTTGTAGAATTCTATCTTTATTGTGTTTTAGGTATATTTTGTATATATAATGGTGGTTTTGTTTTTTTTCAATAAGCATAAATGTCTTATCCATGATTCACCATTACAAGTATGATATGAAAACCTCACTACCATTTAGGTCCATTTCTTCTCTAGTTTTAAATATTATTGTCTTAAGTATCAGTATTAATCTAAAGATTAACTTTTGTTTTAATTGTCACATGATTTGGAAAAGTTATGAGGACAGTTGTAGTCTAACGTCCTTTATCTTTCTGCTGTTCTTTATCATTAACTGATGCTCCCAAGTTCTTATCATTTCTCTTATTTCTTCACTTTCTATAGCAAATATTCCAGCTCAGTCCCCATGGTAATAAGCACTTTTAGTATTTCTTTCTGGAGAAGCCTATTCCTCTTTATTACCAGAATTCATGACCAACATTTCTCTCAGCACTTAAACAGTACTATGACACTTCTGAGTTTCCAGTGAAAGATATGATATTACCTACATGGTATTCTTCTACAGTGATAGCTCATGTCTCTCTTGCTTTCGGGACTTTTATCTTTGCCTTTAGTTTTCAGATGTTTAATTTTGATATATCTTGGCATGCATTTCTTTGAGTTTATCCTATTTGGGATCTGCTTGATTTCTTGACTTCATGGTTCATGTCTTAATCAACCTTGGGATGTTTTCAGGCATTATTTCTTCCAGTTATTCTTCAGTCCCCTTTCTATGGCCTCAAATTGTTGCTGCTACAATTTTGGAACTTTTGTCACTCTGCAACAAATCTTTGAGGATCTGTTCACTTTGTTTCAGTATACTTTCTACTTTAGATCAAGTGAAGTCTACTGGTTCTCTAGTAAGTGAGTTCCCTCTTTACCCAGTGGGTTTGCGCTATTATGTATATCATTACCATTTGATTGTGCTTAAAGTTTATATTTCTTTAATTCTTTTTCATTTGCTTCAGGAGAAATTGTAATTGAATCATTCTGTGAAAGTGATTTTAAGGTTTTCATCCATCTTACATCTACTTTCTCTGAGAATTAATATGGACTTTCCTCATCCGAGTCATGATTTTCCTGATTTACAGTATGATAGCTAACTTCCTAGTACATTTCCATTTTGGTTTGCATTCTAGGGACAATATTTAAAGCTTTGCTTAGCAGGCAGTTATGGATCAGGTTTAGCATGCAGATACTTGCCTGCTTTTGTTTCAAATGACATTGTAATTCCAGACCTTTTGTTGATCTGTTTTGGTTTTCTTGGTAATCTCCAGCAATTTGAGTTTGAATTTGACAAAGGGGCTTTACTAGTGTTGATGCACAGTTCCTGGGGAAAGGAAGTATGTGGCCTAATACAATAAAGACTGCTTCCAGGATTGAGTTGTGTGTGTGTGTGTGTGTGTGTGTGTGTGTGTGTGTGTGTGTGTATAGGGAGGAAAGTGAAAAGTGTTCCCACTGAGGTGCTTGTTATGGTAGGTGCCCCTTACCAGTGTCACCCTGTCTCCAGGTGCCTTTCAACTGGAGATAGAAATCTGAAGGCAGGGAAGGTATCTGTGTGGTAAATGGGAATGAGCATTTGACATAGTGTGATGCAACATGCACATGCCTTCTCCCCATAGACTTCCTGGTGGGGAAGGACAGTCTCAGTCCAAGCACAGAGGAACACTTTAAGATTACAAGCATTCATGTAGCATTATTTCTGATAATGTTATACTCAACTTACTAGTGTCTCTGAGTGGAAGAAGGGACTCTTAGGCTCTATCTAATTTCTTTTTTTTTTTTTTTTTTTTTTTTGTTTTTACGAGACAGGGTTTCTCTGTATTGTTTCAGAGGCTATCGGTCCAGCCCGACCTCGAACTCACAGAGATCCGCCTGCCTCTGCCTCCCGAGTGCTGGGATAAAAGGCGTGCGCCACCACCGCCCGGCCACTATCTAATGTCTTAAACTCAAATTACAAATAACTCAAAGATGTAAGTGCAAAAACTGATGTTTGAAATTTCTAGTGCAATTTGTGGATATAAATAGGAAAAGATGACTCAACCATCAGAGAGTGGTCAGTAATGGGTCTGGAAAGATTTAGAGAATGTTCTTTCTGAGGACCCAAGTTTAAGTTCCAGCACCCACATCATGTGAGGACCCAAGTTTAGGTTCCAGTTCCTTTGTCAGGTGGCTCACAACCACCTACCTGTAACTCCAGGTTCAAGGGATCCAATGCCCCTTTCTGACATCTGTGGGTACCCACACAGATGTGAACATAATACCTAACTCCCCCACATATACACCTAACAAGTTAATCTTTGAAAAAAAGAAGTAGTAGTACTGTAGGGTCAATAAAGTATTTGATAGAATATAGTCAACGGAACATCTTTACAAGCATCTCCAGGTAGATAATGTTCCTTTGTCATACAAATTTAAAACAAAACTTAAATCTTTATTTTTGTTTTGCTGACTAACAAACACAGAACTAAACTTTGTTTTAATTTTAATAACTAGTAAATTTACTTAAAATTTCCCTCTAATCCCTTAATTTTCTAACTGCATAAATGTATAGAATGATAGCATGACTCAGCTCTATTTTATGAGTAGTCATATTATATGATAATATAAAATTCAAGATCTCTTATAACAGAGTTAGGAGTTGACAGCTTCCTCAGTGTTTGTATAGAGAAGACCAACCCATTAGGGATTAAGTACTTTACTGGGCCTAAAAGAGAAGGGGCATTATTGAGCTACATGTAAATTTGATGGCAAATTATGAGTAAAGAAGCAAATAATTTACTTTGATGACTTGGGTCTTGCTACTATTACAATTACTGTAACATCAATATCCTAACTGTAGCCATGGGCAGGGGTGAGAAGAGGGAGAAGGAGATTTAAGTTTCTTCTTTAAACATTCTATACTGCCCTAGAAATACCTTCCTGCTAAAAGGGACATGACAACTAAAACAACTTTTCACCTGCTTCTGTTGGTTTGGTAGTGCCTTAGACAACTACCAAAGACTACAGGCAATAAATTTCATAGGAAGATGCTATGAAGAACTGAATGTGAAACACTTTTTGTCCCTAAGTGATAATAAAAAGAAATTATCTGACATGACTATAATATGCTAATTTATGTTACATCATTATCCCAGAAAAGTACACAATCATAAAATGTATTATTATTTTACTAAAACCTATGGTTAATTCCACTGTTAATGGAAATTAAAACTTTTATTTAATATTACTTACCTCTTCTAAACTGACATTATACACACTTAGATTTTTACCTCTTTCAATATCATCCACTAGAGATGTTGGAGACATCTTGTCTTCTGAGGGAGAATGGTGTTCAAGATTGGAAGTCCGAGGTGGATTCCACATTTGTTGCTGCTGTTGTTCTAGTCTGTACTGAACTTTACTACTTCCTTCAACCCTGAATTAAGGACATCAAATACCAAAACAAGTAATATGTAGCAATGTAACAAATTGAACTTACTAAGTTATTAAAGCTTATCATTTGTTTTTTTAGAAATCTCTCAAATGACATTTAAGGATTAAAATGTTTCCTTGTTAGTATAGTAGAGAGGAAAAAAGAAGAATTAAAATGTCAATTCATTTAACAAATATTTTTGAATTCCTTTTATATGTTTGAAATACATAGCAATCCAACGAGTGATATAAATGGAACAATGAGCAAAACAAGAACAGCCCTACTGCTCAAACTGAGCAGATAATCAGTTACAAGTGACTAAAATAAAGGGAAAATATGTGTGAATTTACCATTTCTACTAAAACTGAATCACTTCCACATTTCCCATTCATAATTTTAAAACAGGCATGTTAACAAAAGAGAAACACTTTTTTTCAACATTTTAAAAGAATGCACTTCAAAATTATATTTGAGGCTTGCCTTTCCCATTTCCTGTGATCAAATCATTCCAGTCCTTCCCAAAATATTTAGCCCCTCATTTTCTCACATTTATTTACACTCTCAAAAATCTTAGTTTACGTATTTTCCAGTTTTCCACATTTCTTTTTATTGTTTCTTTGCTGGGCTAATGTTTAGGACCAGAGCTGTAAACATGCCAATCCCTAGTTTGAATATCTTAATATGTAACCACTACCAACCAAGAAATGGTCTAATTTCTTAGTTAATATTCAAGGCATTAACCTCAATCTACCTTTACGACCTAAACTCTAATCCCCTACCAACACCATAATTCACTTTGTAATTCTTATACATGAGTGCAGAGACAAATATCTGCTCTGTTAAAATGAGTCTTATTCACCAGACCTGAAAAAAATCAGCTGTATTCCTGCCTTCCTTCACTCATGCTGTATATATTCTCCTATCCTTTGTGAACAGTGTAAGGGATTTACACACTTTAAAATCATTTCATACATCCCAAGGCAGTATGATGGTAAGATCTTTTCACTAAGGGTAATCACTAAATTTAATTTTAGAAAAAGGTTTAAAGAAATGTTTAAAGGTTAACCTTTTGTGTACCTGGGTATGTATGTGTATATGTCTGTGAGTGTGGGTTGTGTACACATAAAGTGCCATTGGGTGGCCATTGAGTAGGCTGCTTTATCATTCTCCACCTAATTGTTTGAGGGAGGGTCTCTCTTTGAACCTAGAGTGTGCATTTTTTGGCTAGGCTGGAGAACAACAATACATGATCCTCCTGATTCAAACTGCTGCAGTGCTTACAGACATGTATGTGCACATGTCTGGCTCTTTACACAGGTATTGGGATTTGAACTCCAGTCCTCATGCTTCCATAGCAAGTACTCTTTATAGCTGAACCATCTTTGCAGCCTCAATTCAAAGGTTAAAAAACCCACACCTTACACCATAATTTGACTTAATCCATTAATTCTTTTTCCCTAGAAATTTGTATGTTGATAGAATAATATATTTCAATATGTCACCTACCTTGTTTTTTTCACAGTGATGTTGCTGCTGAGTTTTTCTAGGCGACACTCCCCAGTATCATGGTTAATAATCAAAATGCATTCTTTTAAGTAAGGTCTCTTGGAACCTTTGAAAACTGTGACTGGTGGAGTTGAACCCTGTTGAAAAAGTTAATCATCATTATTTGAAATTCATCATAACAATTAAGTTGAGATGGATGTTGAGTTTTTCTGGTATTGTTTCTCAATCCATGTTCTGTATCAAGTCACTTATAAACTATTTAAGCTTACTACCCTTAAACCAACAAGTGTGGCTTAAAAATAGAAATACAAAGATACAAGGCTGTGATCAAGGCAGATTAAGGTAGTGTAGGCCTCTATTTCCAGCTGCTCAGGAGGCTGCGTAAGGAGGATCCCAAGTTCAAAGTCTATCTTGATTACAGAATGAGATCAAAATCAATTTAGGAAACTTAGAGGGACCCTATATCAAGATAAAATCTGCGGAGGATTAGGGATGCTGTTCAGTGGTACAGCACTTGCCTAGCATATATGAACCTTTAGGTACACACACACACACACACACACACACACACACACACACACACACGCACGCATGCATGCATGCACGCACGCACGCACACACACAGGCTGAGATCTCAAACCAGCTATCATTGAAGAAAGGAAAGGGAAGAGGTAATTACCCTGAAACAGTAAGATTTGTCCTCTTCGTATCAGACAACTGGGATTCAATCTAATCTAATCTAAAAACCTATTTACAGGCAAGGAAAGAGAAATCTTGAATCATATTTTTATTTTTAGACGATCAAGAAAAATGTCAGTAGCCTAGACCCTGCCCCAAATGATGTGACAGACTTTGATGATCCCCCATGGAAGGCCTCACCCTTTCTGTGGTGGCACATGCCTTTAATCCCAGCACTCTGGAGGCAGGGGCAGGTGAATCTTTGTGAGTTCGAGACCAGCCTGGTCTACAAGAGCTAGTTCTAGGATAGCCTCCAAAACCACAGAGAAACCCTGTCTCGAAAAACAAAACAAAAAAACAGAAAAGGAAAAAAGAAAAGTTCTTTCTTAACAATCAATAAACACTGATTCAAGAAATATATTAACATTTAGGATTTTTCTTTAAAACATACCAGAATGGAATGGTGAGAGAATAATTGCTCAGTAGCAGTTAATTTTTCTATCATGCTAGTTTTACAACCAGTTAGAAAGAATGGGAGGATATCTCACTTGGTAAATGCTTGACACACAAGTGTGAGGACCTGAGTTCAGTCCTTACCATCCACATAAAAAGGTAGGCATGGTGGTGCCTATTTGTGATCTCAGCACAGGAGAAGACACAGGCAGATCTCTGAATTTTGCTGGTCAGATAGCCTACACAGCCTGATCGGTGGGCCTCAAAAGGTAAGGTAATTGGCTCATAAGAAGTGAAATGTGAAGATGATCTATGGCCTCAACCCAGGTTTGTGTGTGAGTGAATGAGTGTGCAAACACACACACACATCCAAGAAATCCAACTCATTACCATCATTCTGCAACTTCCTTTATTTTTTGTCACTGTCGTGTCCAAACAGGAAGAAATGTTATGTTATCATTCCCTTAGTCTCATATATATAATTCCTAAACATATTTCACCTGTTTTTTATTTTATAAAAGTGTATTCACATTTTAAAGCACTTTAATACTAATTTTTAGTAAGCACAATAGATAAATTAGGTTAGGAAAGGGTGACTAAAGAAAGCTAAGGCCCATCATATTAAATATTATTAGAGAAATATTAATAATTATTATTAATAATTATTAGAGAGCCATTAAATGTCCACTAAAATCAGTATGGGATAAATTCGGTGATTGAGAATGCTACAAACAGGAATCAGGTTAGGGAGTTGAAAATGATGAAAGAGAAAGACAGGAAGGAACAACTTTATTAGCCTTTACTTAAGACTGAAGTGAGCTACAGAAATCAAGAACACAGAGCATATAAATGGAAACCTAGCTGGTCTGGATCCAGAAAAGTGATATGTGGAACACTTATCCAGGAACCTGCTGAGCTGGAGAGCCAGGAGTGTAGTTATGACAAAATAAAAACAAAATCAAAGACACACACACACAAACAAAATAAAACTAGGTCTACGCAGCTGGAGAGTTGATTTTCAGACTTGTTTAACAAAAAGTGAGTAAACTATCTTAAAATAGAAACCTATAAATGCCAAACTATAGTTGACAGCAGAATTGTACAATCTATTTTTCTTAGAGATGTTTATTATTCCTTAGAATAGAGTAGAATACAGCCTAAAATTGCAATGCCTTGTTGTGCTCTGAACTCTTTTTCTTGGGGGGGGGGTACCCTGTGGCTTCTTAACTTTTTTATTTTTTATGTATGCTTTTATTTAAATTAGAAACATGCATGCTTCAAATGTCTATCCCGGCTCCCCCCTTCTCCTTCCACCAGCCCCAACCCATCCCCTGACCCCCAACCCAGTCCCCACATCATTTCCCAGGGAGGGTAAGGCTCTCCTTGGGGGGGGATCTCCAGAGTCTGTCATTTCATCCAGGGCAGGACCTAGGCCCTTCCCCATGTGTCCAGGCTGAGAGAGCATCCCTCCATGTGGAATGGGCTCCCAAAGTTTATTTGTATGCCATGGTGAACACTAAAGCCCCAGAGATTTCTGAGGTCTCCTCACTGAAACTACATTCAGGGAGTCTGGATCAGTCCCCTGTTGGCCTCTTAGTCATCAGTCTGGGGTTCAAGAACTCCCCCTTGTCCAGTCAGCTGTCTTTGTGGGTTTCACCAGCACGGTCTTGACTGCCTTGATCATCACTCCTCCAACTCTGTTACTGGGTTCCAGGGGATCAGCTAAGTGTTTAGTTGTGAGTATCTATCTCTGCTTCCATCAGTCACAGGGTGAAGGTTCTAGGATGTCACATAAGGTAGTCACCAACCTTATCATCAGGTAGGGGCTATTAATATAGTCTCTCCACTATTACTTAGTTTTCCAATTGGTGTTATCCTTGTACATCTCTGGGAATCTCACTAGTGTCAGCTCTCTCCTCAAAGCTATAATGACTACAACTATTATGGTATCTCTCATCCTGGTCCCCTCTCTTCTCACTCCTTGTTCCCAGTCTGCTCAGGAGATCTTGCCTCTTTCCACTTCTCTGGGGTATAATGCATTTCTCTTGGGAATCTCCCTGTTTCCCAGACTCACTGGTCCTGGGATTGTAAACTGACACTCCCCTGATCCGTGTCTAAAATCCATATATGAATGAGTACATACCATGTTTGTCTTTTTGTGACTGGGTTACCTCACTCAGGATGGTTTCTTCTACTGCCATCCATTTGTCTGCAAATTTCAAGATTCCGTTGTGTTTTCCCGCTGAGTAGTACTCCATTGTGTAAATGTACCACATTTTCTCTATCTACTCTTCAGTTGTGGGGCATCTAGGTTGCTTCCAGGATCTAGCTATTACAAATAATGCTGCTATGAACATAGTGGAACGGACATCCTTATTATATGAATGGGCATCCTTTGGGTATATGCCTAAGAGTGGAATTGCTGGGTCGTGTGGTAGACTGACTCCCATTTTCCTGAGGAATCTCCATACTGATTTCCAAAGTGGCTATACAAGTTTGCACTCCCACCAGCAATGGATGAGTGTTCCCCTTTCTCCTCATCCTCTCCAGAATAAGGTGTCATTGGTGTTTTTTATTTTAGACATTCTGACAGAAGTAAGATGATATCTCAGGGTTGTTTTGATTTGCATTTCCCCAATGGCTAAGGATGTTGAACATTCTCAAGTGTCTCTCAGCCATTTTAGTCTCCTCTATTGTGAATTCTCTATTTAGTTCAGTCCCCCACTTTTTAATTGGGTCCTTTGGTGTTTTGGAGAATAGCTTCTTGAGTTCTTTGCAAATTTTGAAGATCAGCCCTCTGTCAGATGTGGGGTTAGTGAATATCTTTTCCCAATCTGTGGGCTGCCTTTTTGTCTTGCTGACTGTGTCCTTTGCCTTACAGAAGCTACTCAGTTTCAGGAGGTTCCATTTATTAATTGTCCATCTCAGTGTTTGTGTTACTGGTATTATGTTCAGGAAGCTGTCAAGGGTACCTCCCACTTTCTCTTCTAACAGGTTCAGTGTGGCTGGATTTATGTTGAGGTCTTTGATCCATTTGGACTTAACTTTTGTGCATGGTGATAGACATGGCTCTATCTGCAATCTTCTATATGCCAATATCCAGTTATGCCAGCACCATTTGTTGAAGATGCTATCTTTTTTCCATTGTATAATTTTAGCTTTTTTGCCAAAAATCAGCTTTTCATAGGTTTGTGGATTAATCTCAGAGTGTTCAATTCGATTCCACTGGTCTACCTATCTATTTTTGTGCCAATACTAAGCTGTTTTCAGAACTACAGTTCTAAAATAGAGCTTGAAGTCAGGAATGGTGATGCCTCCAGATGTTGCTTTGTTGAGCAGGGTTGTCTTGGCTATCCTGGGTCTTTTGTTTTGCCATATAAAGTTGAAAATTGTTCTTTCAAGGTCTGTGATGAATTATGCTGGGATTTTGATGGGGATTGCATTGAGTCTGTAGATTGCTTTTGGCAGAATTGTCACTTTTACTACATTGATCCTACCTATCCAAGAGCATGGAAGATTTTTCCATTTTCTGGTGTCTTCTTTAATTTCTTTCTTTAAAGACTCAAAGTTCTTGTGATACAGGTCTTTCACTTGTTTGGTTAGTGTATTTTTATCTTGTGTGTGGCAATTGTAAAGGGTGATGTTTCTCTGATTTCTTTCTCAGCCCTCTTATCTTCTGTATATAGTAGGGCTACTGATTTTCTTGAGTTGATATTGTATCCTGCCACTTTGCTGAAGGTATTAATCAGCTGTAAGAGTTCCCTAGTAGAATTCTTTGGGTCACTTATGTAAACTATCATATCATCTGCAAATAGTGAAAGTTTGACCTCTTCCTTTCCAATTTGTATCCCCTTGATCTCCTTTTGTTGTCTTATTGCTCTAGCTAGAACTTTGAGTACAGTATTGAAGAGGTATGGGGAGAGGGGACAGCCTTGTCTTGTTCCTGATTGTAGTGGAATCGCCTTGAGTTTCTGTCCATTTAGTTTGATGTTGGCTGACGGTTTGC